AATAATAATAATAATAATAATAATAATAATAATAATAATAATAATAATAATAATAATAATAATAATAATAATAATAATAATAATAATAATAATAAGCTATTAGATTTTTTTAAATTTTATTATTCTTTTTTTTAGTAAAAGGAACTATAATTAATCTTATAGACTATTTAAGTATTATTTTATAATAATAAGTATATTAAAAATACAAATATATTATATATTTTTAATTAAATATAAAGAATTAATAAATGTAATATCTTTAGCTTTATAAGTAAAATCTAAAATATCCGGGCTATTACTAATACTTTGCTTATTATATTAGATAAAAGTCTAATTATTATTATTAAACTTTTTAGACTAATTAATCTTATTTTTCCTAAGTAAATCTATTATATAAAATCTAATAAATTATATATAAATATTTATTAAGATTAAGGTAATTAAGAAAGAATAAATCTAATATCTAATATACTTTTTCTTATATATTATAATTAGCTTAGTACTATTTTAGGTCTTATTTTCTTATAAATATATATATATTTGAAATTTATAATTAATATTTTAAAGTAATATTTTTTAATTAGTTCTTATATAATTTAAAAGTTAGATTACTAAATTTAATACTTTTATAATTATTAGAGTTTTTATAATTTTTTGTTTTTTAAATTTAATATTTAAACTATATTATATATTTTGCCTTTAATATAAAAAAGGCTTTTAAAAGTCTAATTTATTTATATATTATATCTTATATTTAGAGAATTTATTTATTAGTAATATTTTCTTATTATTAAGAAAAGAAGATATAAAAAGACTTTTATATTAAGAATATATTATATTATAATAATAAAATTATAAGTATTTATATATAAATATATAATATATTAAATTAGTTATATTAAAAACTATATTATATTTATATATAAAGTTACTAATTACTTTATATTAATACTAGATTTATATAATTAGTAATTTTATATAACTAGTTAGCTATAGAAAAGCTCTAAAGCCTGAAACTCACGAAAAGTCTTAAGGACTTTAGGGCTTTTAAACTATTACTAGTATCTAGTATTTTTTTAAAAAAAAGTATAATATATTTTATAATAAATAATCTATTATAGACTATTTAATTTTTAAGTTAAGCGAGAAATCTAAGAACTAGGCTTGTAATTCAAGTTTTATTAAGGTTATTAAAGTCTTTACTAGCTAGTATTATAGATTTAATATTATAACGGGAATTCTATAAGTTTTATTCTAATTTATTTAGAAAATATATATAATATATATTTTTTATTTATTTTAATATTTATATATAATTTCTAAAAGCCGAACTATTATCTAAAAAAGAAATAAGAAAGCTAGACTAATATCTTTAAAAACTAAGGCCTTAATAAGTCTATTTAAAAAAGCTTACTAATTTTTCTAAAAATAATTTAAGAAAAGTTTAAATTTATTATATATTATAACTTATATAATTAGAAATAGAAACTTGAATTCATTATATAAAATTATTTATTTAAATTAATTAGTTAAATCTATTTTTAATACTAAGTTTTTATTAAAGTAATTTCCTGCTTTTAAAAGCTTTAAATAAAATAGCTAATAAATTTCTTAGCTATTAGCTAAAATTTATTAATTAGAAAATCTATAAATAATATCTTATAAAATATAGGAAATCTTAGTACTTAACTAGTATTATACTTTAGCTTAAAGATATTTATTATTTATTATATCTAATTTAATAGAAATAAAAGATATTTATATTTTAATTCGAGAAATAATTAGAACTTTTATATAGATTTAGAATAGTAGTTTGTTTTATAAAAAGAAAATAGACTAGAATTATTTATATTATTTTAATTTTTAAAAGAGATTATAATAAATATAATAATTTCTAAAATATTCTCGAAAAAGCTTTTCCAAATTAAAATAAGCTAGTTTATAATTCCGAAAGATTTATAGAAATCTTATATATTTAAAATTATAAATATTTAAGATAAATACTATTTAAATTTTAATTTATAATAAAAGAAAAATAAAATATTTGAATATTTAATAAATAGAAAGTCTAATTATAGATTATAAGAACTAGTATTAACTAAATATATATATAGTAATATTAAAGAGAAAATAAGATAAGAAAACTAAAAAATTAATTAATATATATTTTATAAAAGTAAATAAGGATATTTAAATAGCCTAAAAATAAGAAATATATATTAAAGAAATTAAAATTAAAGAAAAAAGAATTATTTCTTATAAAAATAAATTAATATATATTTTAAGATAAAGAATAAAGATATTTAGTAATAGCCTAAAGGCTTTTATAAGTATTAAAAAAAGAAAACAAATACTAAAATTCGAAGAAATCTAAATAGAAATTCGAGAAAAAATACTTTTAGAAAATTTAAAAATATAAGAGATATTAGAAAAGAAAAGAAGGAAATATTAGAAGAAGAAAAAAATTTAAAATTTAGCTTTTTAAAAAGTAAATAAATTAAAGATTTATAATATATAAGTTCTAGATAAAAGTAATCCGGAAATAGTAATTAGGTACTAGCTTTTAATATTATTAGTAGAAATATTAAAAAAAGAGAAAGTTATAAGGTAATTAGATACTAGCTTTTAATATTAATAGAAGTATTAATAAAGATATTAATAAAAGTATTAATAGAAAAGATATTAGTAAAGAATAAAAGCTTTTAGTATTAATAATAAAATTTAAAAAAATATAAAAGAAAAATAAAGGGTTTAAAATAAAAATGAAATAAAATTATAGTTTTATAGAAAATAAAAGTACTAATATAAAATAGTTATATTATTATATAATTTTATATTTATTTTTATTATTTATTAAGAATATATATTTTTTAGAAAAAAGTATTATTTAAAATTTTTAAGTTTCTTTAATTTAATAATTATATATTAGAATAAAAGAATTTTTCTTATTTAAAAATTATAATTATAATATTATTAAATATAGAAATATAGAAGTTTATATAATAAGTTATATATAAAGATTTAAAGAAATTCAAATTACTTCGAATTATTTATAATTAGTAAAGTTAATTATATAAATTAAATATAAATTAATTTTTATTAGTATATTTTAGCTTTTATAAATTAATAAAAGAAAAAATATTTTTATTTTTATTTTTATAATATAGTATCTAAAATTATAATTTTTTAATATTTTAAATATATTTAATCTAGGGCTATTAAATACTAATACTTTTATTTTTAGGTATTATTTATTATAAATTCATTTAAGTTTAAATAATTATATTAAATATATATCTTTATATTCTAAAAGTAAATAATAAAAATATAGTTATATTAGCTTTAAGCTTAGCTTTAATTTTAATCTTCTTTTAAAAATAACTTTAATTCTAATATATAATATTATTAAAGCTTTTTTTTATTAAAAATATATTAAATATAGCTTTAGATAATAGCTTTAATAAAAGCAAAAGTAATAGAAAAGATAATAAAGCTATAAATAAATAAAAAGATAATATTTATAATATATTCTCTAATAATTCAAATTTAGTTTATAATATCTTTTTCTATTAATATATTTAACTAATAAACTTCTTTATTTCTTGATTCTCTTTTTATATATAATCTTTTTCTTTTCTTTTTTTTCCTTTATAATAATACTTTAATCTTTTTATATTATTTAATAATATTACTAAAATAGTAAAGTAAATTAATAATAAAGCTAAAGTTAGAGAGATAAAGATATATTAAAGTAAGAAGCTAAAGAAATTAGAGAAAGGTAAAATAAATCTAGAAATAAGCTTAGTTTATATTTATAAAACAAAATTCTCTTAAACTTATATTATTTATAGTAATAAAAAGAGATTAAAAAGCCCTTTTAAATACTATATAATTATAAAAGATAACTTTAATAGCATTTATATAAATTACAGATATAATAATAATAGTAAAATCTATACTTTTTATTAATTTAATACTAATTTTATTAAATCTAGAAAGCCTTATTCTATATCTATAAAATTCTTTATATTAAAGCCTTAACTATTTATAAGATATAGAAAGCAAGTATAAAAACAGATATAAGATTAGAAGATAAAAGGAAAGAAGATTATAATAAAAGAGAATAAAAATACTAGAAAAGAAGAAGATAAAGAAAATATAGATAATTTAAGTAATATAAATAGTATAGAGAATATAGAAAGTAAGAGAGATATATCTTATAATTTATAGAATTTGCCTTACGGACTATACAAGCTAAGGGGAGGCTAGGAGTAGTCGAGAATAAGGCGTATATACTATACTTTTTTTTAGTGAGATATAGGGGGGGGGATACGGGTGCGAAAATCAAAAAATCAGAAAATCACTTTTCGCTTCTCGGTTTTGTCGACTAGCCTGCTAATGGCCTCAGTACTGGGGGACAGAAAAGCGGCACCAATTTTCAATGTCCCAAGTGAGAGCTAGACATCTCTCCGAGTTCACAGGAGGTAAAAGTACAGTATCTCGGGATTTCCGAGATAGAAGGAGAGTGACTTTGAATATACTTCAGCTCGAAGGAACATTTTCCCAGAGAAGTGGCTGAAATGATCCAACCTGACTTTAGACATTAGAAATTCAGTGCCGCTTTTTAGTCCTTCACGAGATCGCCCAGTGTGCTTCCCGAGTCCAAGAGGGAGCTCCTGTTTCTAGGATGTGGAATACCATATGACCTATTAGGGACGACTGAAAGATATTCCAAGCTTCAAATCCCTTTCATTCTCATCGAGATGCTCCAAAACCACTATACACCGTCCACCCACCCATTTCAATCCTGTGCCAGTCTCCTCATAATCCATGCCTACTTTTACAATGAAAAACGCCTTCAGACTTGACCTCCAATGCCCCCGTAAATAAGCCTGGTCTTATAATCGTACATATCCTACCCCATAAGCATTTCCCTTAAACTCCGACCCCGGGCGCGGTTTCCGATATAGCTAATGCTTCGTTGGCGTTCGGTCCTTCCTTCGCGCGGTATATTATGCACTCTGCGCTCATACCCTAACAATTTCATACTTATCCATGCTTCACCGTCCACCGTCTTCATGCTTCCGAATATAAGAATGTACGTTGCCCGCTGCCATGTCTCTTGACAGAGTCGACCTACTTTTGGTGCTCCTCCGGCTCTTTCCACTCTTTCCGCTCCTTCCGCTCCTACTCGTTCCTGAAGAAGCCACAACTCCTGTCGAGTTCGGAGATGGTCATTCTCCAGCGACGACGTGGAGATGCGGGTTTCCTCTTGGGATAGTGAGAGACTGCGTCTATCTTGACCTTCTTGCTCGTTTTGTAATCCCACCCCTTCTAAATTCCACACCTGAGCATTTCTCTGGTGGAGCTCAGTATTAAGCCTCCCCACTTCCTTCTGGGACTTCTCGAGCTGTTCGTCCAGTTTGTCAATCTAGAATTCCCATTGCTTTATCGCAGGCTCGGCAAAAATTCCTTAATTTCCGGTATCGATAGGTATCGATGCCAGAATCGTAAGGTATCGATTCCCCGAACCCAATTCCCCCCTTTAATTGCAATTAACTTTAGAGCCACTTCCCTTATAAGAAAACTTTTGGTAGCGCAAATATTCTACTTGATTTAGGCTTTCTATTTAGCTACTTATCTTATATTTTAGACTAAAACCATCTCAATGCGGCTATTTTAAGTAAAAATAAGCTTTTGAGATTTTCGTGAGGCTCGCTTATATATTTAGCATCTTGATAAGAAATACGAATCCCGGGGGGAGCTCAACGGGCTGATGGATAGCTGAAGCAGCTGGAAAGGTCTGCATCCTCCTGCAAAAGCTATTACTAATTCAATTAGGCTCTTCCTGGGAACGCATACCACCAGTATGCGTTCTCCTATACAAGTTTGATGCCTTAATACGGTTATAGAGCAGGCTTATAGCTCGATTAACCATCAGAATAGCTAATGCAAAGAGAATTATATTGATCGGGTTACAAAATAGTTAAATATAGTACCTTTCAAGTTCTCGGAACTCTGAGCAGATATCTCAGAGAATATAATTGGGTCAAGGCCCAATAATATTAGTATTAGAGATAGCCTCACTACTACTCCGGGCCGTGAAAATTTTTTATTACCCCAATAATAGACAATTACTTGGCTAGAGATCCCAAGATATTCTTATTCTATTCTAAGTATATAGAAATATTAAATAACTATAAAGTAATTATTAATAATAATATAATTATACTTAAATACAGACCTATCTAATACTAATAATATTAATATAAAATCTACTAATTTAAGCTATAACCAAGATAATATTAGTAAAAACAGAGCTTCTTTTAAGAACTTAGCTAATAGGCAAGAAACTAAGAACCAGACTAATAAATTAATAAGTAAAGAGATAATTATAGAATAATTATAAGAGATAAACCAAAGCAAATCTAATAATACTAAAGTAAGAGCTATAGCTACTAGTTCTAGTATTACTATAAATAGTATTAATAAATAAAATAAAAGAATTCCCTTAACTCTTATACTTTTAACTAATTAGGCTACTAAGACTAAAGACTATATAAATAAGAAAGAGATAAAAAAGGCTCGAAAAAAGAAATAATCCGAGAAATAATAAAGACTTCTTTTACTAGCTAAAGACCTTATTTCTATTATTTCTATTATAAATATATCCGAAATAATAATAATAGAACCTATAAGTGAAATAGTTCCGGTAAAGAAAATAAAAAGAAAAGAATATAAGCCTAAAAAGAATAAAGGGAAGGGCAAGGCTATAGAGCCGGAAAAAATAATTATTAGATTATTTATAAAGAACCCAGCCAGAGAAGCCTCTTTACTTATATTTCCGAATAAAGCCTCTAACTTCTTTATTAATTTCTTTGAATTATCTATTACCTGAGCCTAAAGGTAATAAAAATTACTACCCAAATATAGGCTAACCAAGAACTTGTCTAATTTCTTTAAAATTATAAAGAAAATAACTCGAATACTAAGATTCTATTACCTGCCTTTCTCTAATTTAATAAGAAGCTATTAGAGCTCTAGGTAAGTATTAAATAAAGAATAATACTTTGTAAAATAAGAACTTTTACTCTAAAGAATAAAATAAGAGTAGCCTATAAAAGAGGTTATATCCTAATAATAACTAAAAAGCCTGGCTATCTATTAGTAAAACTATAAAAGAAGTCTAATATAAAACTTGTAATAAATATAATACCTATAAGAAAAGAAAATAAAGGCCTATTCTCTATTAGTAAATCTTCTTTCAAGTATAAAGGCCTATTAAAAGTAAGTATATTAGGGCTACTAAGATCGGAACTTAATACCGGATAAATAAGAAAAGAGCTAGCTAAAGTAACTAAAAAGAAATAAGAGTATTAATATATATAAATAGTTACTATATTTATATATATTTCCCAAAAAAGCTAAAAATATATATATAAAAGATAAGGGAATAGGGCTAGAGAAAGTTCTTTTAAAAAGAATAATTAAAATATTTAAGCTAGAATTAAATGAAAATATAAAAACCATTTAGTTTATAATTCGAAATAATAAAACTAGCTAAATTATAAAACTTAGAAATTATAAATATATAAAGTTTTTTAATAAGATAAATTACTAATAAAATTATAATAGCAAGTAAATAATTCAAATATTTCTTTATAGAAATATTAAAGTATGAACTTTTATTACCTCTTAAATTAATAATATTCTACTAGAAGTAATAATTAAATATATTGAAATATAGTTTTTAAAGCTAAATCTGAATTTAAAAGTCAAGTTTTAGCTTGGGCTTTAATATTATAAAAGTATAAAAGAAGTTATTAAAATAATTTAATTCTTGTAATTACTAGAAATTTAAAAATTTAAAATATATTTTCCTAAGATAAAAGGAAAAAAGAATAGGTTTTTATATAAGTTTTTAGCTAAGAACTTATTAAAGATTAAATATAAGATCTATAAATAATTATTTAAAAAAAATGCCTTATAGAATTATCTATTATTTTAATCTGCTTTTAGTATCTTTAATATTTTATTTTCCTTTAGCTAATTAGCTATAGTAATTATTAAATACTATTATAAAAAGTTAATAAATAATGTTTTTATAGTTTCTATTAATATATAAATACTAAATAATTTAGCCAAATTCTATAACTTATATAATCTAATATAAAATATAAATATAAATATTATAATAATTCAAGAAATATATTTTAATAAAAAATAGCTCTCGAACTTAAAGCCTAATATAAAGTAATAAGTATTATTATAAACTATAAAGAAAAATAAGAAAGAACTATTATAATTATTAATTATAAAACTATTTAATAAATATCTAAACCAAAAAATAATAAAGACTATATTTTTTATTAAAATATAAAAATAGAAATCTAATTATATTAAATATTTATATTTTAATAAATATAAAAAAAAACTAGAATAATTTAATAATAAAATTAAAAAGAGATAAAACCTAAATTATATTTTAAATAATAATATAATAGCCAGAAACTAGAATCTAATAAAGCTAATTAATTATAGAGACTAAAGAGAAATTAGTATTAAATATATTAATACTTTAAAAAAAATTAATAAAGGCTTTTAGTAAATAAAAAAGCAAAATAATAAATAAGTAAAAATAATAATACCCTAATTCTAAAGCTTATATATTTTACTAAAAGCCAAAATAAAATAAAAAAAGAATAGAGATATCGAGAATTAATAAAATCTATATAAAAGAAAACTAAATAAAGCTATTTATAAACTAAAATATCTAATTTATAAGACTTAATATTAATTATAAAATAATTAGTATTTAAATCAAGTTCTTATTTCTAGTATTTAAAGGCTCTAAAAAATAATATTTAAATTTAAAACTTCTAAAAAGAAAAAAGTTAAAGATTTTATTATTAATAAACTATATATATTATTTATAAGAAACTTCTAGAAAAAATAAAATAGCTTTAAAGCTATAATATAAAAGTTTATAAAAAAAGAAAAGAAGTAATTAAAAAAAACCCTATATTATATAAATTAAAATCGAGAAATAAAAATATAAGCTATAGAAAAAGAAAGAGTTTTTTTTAGATATATTAGCTATAAATTTAAGAATAAACTAAGCTCTATTAATATTTAGGAAAATTATCTAAACTAGAAAAATTATAAAAATTATACTTATAATACTAGTAAAAAGACTTATAAAAGAATTTTATATAAGAATGAAAAGAAATTTAAATAAGATTATAGAAATAATTAAGAATTATCTAAAAAATATATATATATATAAAAACAAAATCCAAAAAAAATCTTTAAAACCTATATAGCCTATTATAAAACCCTATATAATAAGAAATAAATTAAGAAAACTATTTAAAAAATACTTAAATATCTAATTTTAAAATAAAATAATTCAAAAAGCTAATTCTAGTATAAGAAATAAGGGTATTTATATAAAGAATGATTTTAAAAAAATTACTCGAAATTAATAATCTATTATATAAGCTTTATAAAAGACTTCTAAAAATTACTATAAATAAAAAGAATAATAATCTATTAATAATATAAGTATTATATAATCTTTTTAAATAAGAAAAATAATTCTTTATTATTAGCTAATTATAGGCCTCTTATATTTATAAATATAAACTATAAGCTATATACTAAAATACTAATAATAAGGCTTATTTAAGCCTTAAATCCAACTATTAAAAAATAATAATTAATATTTCTAATTAGATAACTAATTAATAATAATATATAAATAATTTAGAATATAATTATAAAATATAAAGAAATAAAAGAAATAAGTAATAATATTTATATTTTATTCCTGAATTAAAAAAAAACATATAACCGAATAAATTACTAATTACTTTAAAAAGTAATAAAAACTATTAGAATTTTACTAAAATTTGGAAATAAGAGAATTAAAATCCGGAGTAAAATAAGGCAAAAAGATTCTATTAGCTATTTACTTTTTATTATTATAATAAAAGCTTTTATATATATAATAATAAATAATAAAAATAAAAACTAAAATAAAAATAATAAAAACTATTATATATATAAATAATACTACTATTATTCTAAAAAACCAGAAAAAAACTATTAAGTTTCTTTAAATACTCGATATATATTACTAGACTATAGCTATTAAAATTAATTAAGGGAAACTCTTTCTTCTAAAAATTAGCTTAATATATTATATATTAGTTAAAGAAATATAAATGGTTTTCTTAAAGCACTTATATAAATATCTTAGAATTCTTATAGAAATAAATATTAAATAATAAATAAAGGAATTTTAAGAGAAAATAATTAAGAAAATTTTATCTATTATTAAAAAGTCAAATTCTAGTAATAAACTCTCTAATAATATTAAAGATCTAATTTATAATATAATTCCTAAATCTAGAGTCAAATATTTATAAAAAAAAAACTAAAGCAAGAATACTATATTATAATATAGAAAAAAGTTATAAAAAAGATAATTAAAGACTTCTATATATATTTCTTAAAAGAAAATAAAAGCCTAGGCTACTTTAATCTAAATATTATAATAATAATATTAGCTATAACTATAATAATAAGAGTAATATAAATGCCTTAGTTAATATAAACCCAAATTATTAAAGAATTAATTATTAAAAAATTTAAGCAAATATAGTCTTATAACTAATTTATAAAATAATTAATATATCCTAGATTTAATAACTATATTCTAAATTAATTATATTCTATAAATTTGCCTTTATTTAAAGCTAATAAAAAGAGTTTATAATATTTATTATAACTACTATTATAAAAAAAAACTAAAAGATATCTATAATATACTAAATATATATTTTTAATATTATTTATAAATTACTTAAATAATAAATTCAGAACCCAAAATATAGAAATTAAATATATAAGAAAAAGTATAGGCCAAAAATAAGAAAGTAATAAAGAATATCTAAAACTTTATAAAAATAGAACTAATAATTCTAAAAAGACTTATAATAATATAAAGATTAAATACTAAAAAAAAGTATTAAAAAGATTATAGAAAGTTTTCTTAAAAATAAAAGTATAAAACTAGATTTATTTAATTTAATCTTAACTAAGCTTTATTTTTAGATATAAAATAAAAAAAATAAAAAAAAGCCTTTAAATCTGGAAATTTATAAGAGTATATAAAATATTAATAAATCGAAAACTTTTAAATATTAACTTTAATAATAGAACTATAAGGCCATTTATAATAAAAAGTTCGGAATAATTATAAAAAATAATAAATACTAAGTTTATAGTTCTTAAAACAAGTAATCTAATATAGTATTTCTTATATAATAGAATAAAAATAAGAAAAGACCTAAACTAGCTAATAAAAGAGCTTTAGATATATTTAATCTATAGAATAGATCTAATAATATAATATATATAACTAGAGTATATAGTTATAAAAGCGGTTTAAAAAAAGCTTAATTTAATTCTAATAAATCTAAGAAATATAAAACAAGAAATTAGACTTATTCTCCCAAAAATAATTAATAAGCTTATTATCTTTATAGCTTTTAGCCTATTTCGAATAAAAGATCCTAAAAATAAAAGATAAAAGGTTCTCTATTAAACTATAGTATATTATATTTAATAAAAAAACTTCTTATTATACTTCTTTATATCTAATTATAGACTATAGGAACCAGATATAGCTAGAAATAACTATAAAGAAATAATTAAGAAGCAGATTCTAGTAAACCGGGCAGCTTATATACTAGAGAGATATTAAAACCGGGAAATAAACCCAATAAAGTTTGAGGAGAGATAGAGAGAACTCCCGCTATAACTAAGTATTATTCACAGGCCGAGATTCCTATAGAGAATTCCGAATACAGGAGAGGAAGACCCTAAACCTGAGACAAACAGAATCCATTATCTGGGACCAGATAAAAATACAGAGTGGGAAACAAAATCAGAATCAAAATAGGAATACTAAGAATTAAGGTAATATAAGATATAATAGACCGAGAGTATAACTTCTCCCTACTATATGGAGTCAAGATCTACGCTTGGCCAGTCATTAAACTAAAATAAAGGATACAAGTAATCTAGTAAATTGGGTTTAATTCCCGATATCTGGCTCCTAGTAACATAATACCTCCCCCTGGCTCAATCTTAGTTATTACACAACTGAGATTAGCCGAACAATAAACAACCTAAAGCTGGATAAGAAATACGAATATAGGGCTTAATTCTCCAAATATAAGAGCTATTTTAAATTTAAGATATTATTAACTTTTATTAATAATAGCAAGTAATTCTTTTGGTAGAAAGACTAGGAATTAAAGGAATTATATAATAATATATTATTATATAATTTAAATAATAAAAGAAAGAGTTAATTTTTGGGATAAGAATCGATTCTGGTATTAATACTATCGATTTCTTGCAATACCTGACTAATACCATCCAGTATCGATACCGGTATCGATGCCTCAGGTATTTTTGCCGAGCCTGCAAAGTTTATCGTTTCTTAGCTTCTTCTAATTAATCCTCCAGGCTTTGCTTTATGTTAGGGTATTGGGTTGGGACCAGAAAGCGCCTTGGTTTAATAATCGCCATTATCTCCAGGTTCTAGTTCCGGTTCTGAGTCAGAGATGACTACAAGCTCGAGAGGCGGGCAGTAATCGACAGAGATGACTTTCCAGCCGATGCTCGAACTAGCTTTCTAGGACCCTGGTTCTACACTCTACCTCCCATATTCTGTGTCCGTATTCTTTTCAAGACATTGCGAGACCTTGGAACATGAGCTACGGATCCGGTCCTTGAGAACTCCCTTTGTCCCTATTTCGTAGTAGTCCAGTAGCTACTAATGCCTCATCTTGCATATCCGTAATACCCTGTATACTCTGAATACTATAGTCACCTTCTTTCCAGAAAGGAGTAGCCCTTTGGGTATTGGGGGCATTGAGATATGCGTCCACCGGGAGAGGCTCGTCTTACAGGACTTAGGCTGTATTCGTATAACTTGAGGCTCGAGATTTTTTAACGGAGGGTAGTTAAGACAGAGCTATAAAGCGAGGGCAATACTGGCTAGTAATTATAGCTAGTGGCTCTGAGCTTCCGATTATATTAGGCTTTAATCGTGAATTTGTATTGCCTTCCTGAATAGGACAAGAACCATTTTCGTTATTAACGATGTCTGTCTTCTAATACCCAAGCCTGTTTGCCTTGGTAAGTAGCTTTACTAGTTCACTTGCGCTAATTATTTAGAGTCGTACCTCGATAGCGTAATCAAGAAACTACTCGCTTATAGACTTAAGTATCTCCTTACTATATGACTCGAGAATTATACGTACGAGAGGTGGGCCGGCCACAGCCTTCCCGATCGAAGGAGTAGTGATAGCATCGGTAGTCGCATGGGAGCTCGAGTAGGGGGCAATAGGGCTCGGTACGGAAGACATTATAATACTTATTAGGGTAAGTAGGATTGCTCGTGCGAAAGTATTGTCTGCGATATAGAAAAGCTCGGGGAATATATGCTCGAAGATAACTAGAATGGCCACGTTTGCTTACTTTAAAGTGTTAAATAATATGCGTATAGACTGCATTTGCCTGGTAAATAAACATTCTTGAAAGGTGCACCGGAGATACTGTATATGTTTCTGTTCTAGGCTAAGCGAGGCACAAGAATCATTATATATCTAGAGCCCTTAACAATTATAATAAGTAATATTTATTTCAAATAGGTTCAAACCGACCATCTCTCATACTGCGCCACATATAAGTGGCGTTGGGCTGGGATTAACCATCGTCAAGTTCATCACGATGGTTTTGCGAGATAGGCGGTTCAGGTACCCCACACCCCAAGCCCACTTGATCGGCTAGAACTTTCTGAACACCTGCGCCGAAGCTGGAGCCGCTTGAGAAGATGCGACAGGAGGCTGGAAAGGGCGCCTGTATCGACGACAGTTCTAGCTAAGGATATCAAGATCATTATCATCCCACGTCGGCCTCATCGTCAGCCAGTTCGTGAGTCCCATCGCCATCGAGAACATATCATGGATGTACTATATTGTGTTGTTGTGTTTGATGCTGAACTGTTTGGTGTTGTTTGGGGGTTCTTTCCCGAGACGAAGGGGCGTGGTTTAGAGGAGATTGCAACGGCGTTTGAATGTGACTGGGCCGCGGTCAGGAATACTATTCCTGATATCGCGGAAAAGGGGGTTGGAAGGGGGAATATGCATATTGAGGAGGCCAAAGCTGAATGATGGCGCTATGGCGGCTTAGGCAGGTGAAGGTGGGATCTGGTTCGTAGTTGAGAACCCCAACAAGATAGCTGGTTGTTGGCAGATATAATTCATTGTTGTACCTATCACACCACAATGCAGCCAGTTATGCTCCCCTCCCCTTCCCGCTATTCACAGCCACGCACCTCTCATCTCGTCTCCCAAAATCCTCTTGAGTTATCCATCAAGAAATGCAATTCCAATGCCAACCAATATATACCCGAAACGCCTGACACGAACAGTCATTTCATAACACCATATCCATGTCTCGTAATACCCGCCTCTTCCCTGCGATTCCCCGTTTTAGTCCAGCCGACTGGGCATCTCTTCTTCCTTGAATCGCGACCCTCTGCTCGCTTTCTCTTTCTCCTCGCCAAAACTCTGCCCCCGACTCCTCCTCTCCTTATCGTCTCCGTGCAGCCCATTACTCCGCCGCCGCCGCCTCTCCTCCTTCTCCCTCTCATGTATCGGTGGCAGGCCTCTCAGACTGTTCCTCGCCGCCTTCTCAGACACATAGCTCGCACTCCTCGCATGGCCATTCCTATCACTCGGAAACACGCCCGTGGACGAGAAAGTGGAGGAGCGGTCGGGTTTAGTGAGGACATTTGACCGCCTCTTCGACCCTCTATCCGCAGCCCCTTTTGCGCTGCCTAGTTCGTGGACCGGCAGGACTGCTGCATACTCCTTCGACGCCGCGCCACCGTACTTTGCTCCTCCATTCGCAGCACTCGCCTCAACCCCCCTAGCCACGGCCGTACCGCCCGAACGTCGCGCATCGATTGTGGATATGGTCCTTCCTCGCCGTCCCGGCTTCCCACCAACAGTCGGCCGCGACCGCCACTCATGCGAACTAGTGTTCATAAACCACCACATATACAACGCGCCGACCAAGAATACTGCCGTGAGGAACCACGCGCCGATTTTATCCGCTTTCGTCGGCGGACTTACGGTCTCCCCCGGCGGGATCGAGGAGGAGTTATACCCCGCGTGCGGGTTACTCGGGCTCGTGCCACCCGTCGTATTTGTAACCGCCGGAACTGCCTTGCCTACCATGGTCCCCAACACAACCTCCAGCGCAGCCATCTGTTGACCAACGCCAGCTGTGCCGTCCCAGGTCCCGTTGTTGTACCATTTTAGACCACAGACGTTGCCGGTTGGGGCCCCGGTGCATTGGGCTGCTGCTGCTTTGGCAGAGGATAGAAGGAGAGGGGCGATGATGGAGTAGGTGAAGGGTGCCATTTGGGTTGTTGCGGCAAGCCAGCGGGAGAGGTAGGCTTTGAAGGAGTGCTGGTCGACGTTGCAGGCATTGTTTTGCTCGCAGATGTCTTTCATTATACCGTCGTGGAAGTAGTCGAAGACTAATGTGCTTAGCAAGTTACTGGTTCTGTTTTTCCAGAGATCGGATTGTGTCTGTGACGTGTTAGTGGGAAGGTGTGTGGGGGGAGAAGGCAGAAAGGGGTGCACAGACGTAGTTCCACATAGTACTCGCTCCCATGAGCATCGTCCCCGCATTATAGCTCCACTGCGTATGGTCGATCGTCGTACAATTCATCCGATCCGCCTCCGTATTATCAAAAACATTATAATTCGAATCAATTAGCCCGATCCGCCACATCCAATCCCAGACCTTCTCCGCCCACTGCGCATACATATCGTCGTTCGTATATCTTGCCAGTCTGGACGCGATATTGAAGAAACATCCATTCGATATAGAATTCTTCAAGTTCCAGCCCGTGATCTCGTAGATCTGCCATCGAATCCCCCCGTTGCAGTGCTGCGTGTCCCAGCGCCCGGACTGCTCGTTGAAGACCGCTTGCGCGAGGGACAGCCAGGAAGGTTGTGGGTATACCGGGTCGGGAAATTTGTATTCTGCTGCTTGCAGCGCGGCCATGCCCCAGAATGCTTGATCATCATTCCCTAGTGATGCCGAGGCATTGGGAGGCATGAAATCGTTGTGTGGTCCGACCTGCCATTGTAAAGCTTGCATCGTCAAGTCGTTCCACTTCGTGTCGTCGGTGTAGTGCCAGTAGTTGACCATCGCTCCCCACATTGCGCCTGCTTCCCACCAGTAGTATGGTCCTGGCAAGATCCCAGGCGTTTGCCCGTACTGGTTTCCGACGTAGTAGCTCATCATTCCTGCTGCGATTGTGGCGGCTGCGTCTTTGACCGATTCTATGCTTTTGTCAGCTGTGGCCGAGGCTGGGTGGGGTTGAATTTGGAGCATACGGGGACTCGTCCAGTCCACATCAATGGCAGTTGTACATTGTATTGTACACAGCCATAGTAAGGCCAGACTCTTCCTGAATTGCACCATTTTTGCGACTGTCGCATCGGTTGTTGTGGTCGTGTGTGTCCGGGTCAATATCGAGCTTGTACGACAAACGAACGTGTGGGCTGACTCTACGAGCACAGTCAACACATCGAAGGTGATGCTCCTGTGAAGATCGAGCGCAATTCGTCCGCAAACTGCAGAGCTTTCCGGCCAAACAGTCAGGACGATGAAGAGGTCGACGACATGTCGTTGCACGATGCTGGTGCGGCGCAAAGCATGGTGGTTGGGGCTTCCGTCGAAAACCTGCACGCTGGCTGGTTTGCGTTCTGGTTAAAAACAGGCAAAAGTCGGGTTCGTCGGGCGCTCCAATGCGTGCTCACGATGTGCGGCATCCCTGTCTGCTGGTCTGCTCGAGATTCACAAAAGCAACAAGGCAAACCCAAGGCTGCGCGAATCAGCAGCGCTGGGCCGCGCAGGGTCCCGACGAAGATGGTTCGTGGAATCGCGGTCGCCAGGAGAAGGGAGCCCTTTGGGAAGGCGGTCAGCAGAACAGGTGGCGTGACGTACGCTTTTACGAGGGACACGGTACGGCACAGCGCAGCACGGCAGAAAACACAGCAAAACCACTTCGTATTTCGTCTTGGCGTTGTGCTGCACCAGCTGCTTTTGATTGAGTTTCGATATCACGTGTTGCGGTGCGGGGTTCGTGCAGGGTCGCTGCAGGGGTGGCTCGGAGATTCCTTCCTCAAGCGATCGAGGCTGAGTCGGCAGCCGAAGAGGCAGCGAAATTTGAAGCTTTTGACGAAGCTTGACGGAAGCTTGAGGGTTTCCTCGGCCTTACATAATTGGAGGGCCAAGCGTCGACAAGCAAGGAGGTGCATTTAAGCTTCACTTAGCGTCTCGCCAATGAAAAGGGGGTTAGTCATGGCAATGGCAATCGCTCCTGCGTGCCGGAACAAGAATACTGGGCTTAACACTAAGGAATCAATGGCGAGATAGCGAGCGATCAGTGCTAACACTATTAGATACTTTTAACGATCAAGAATTAATTATGCAGCTTCCAAGATTTCAAATCACACATAATTCTGAAATAACTGATAATTGGACGGATGTGAAATGGTGGCGCTAGGCGCTTTGCTGGCCCACATGTCAGTTGTGGCTGTTGAGTAGAGTCCATCCGAACACGTCGGGCAAAATACTGCTGGCGCCTTTCATCGCCCTCGCGCGACCTACGCTTCAGACCCATCTCCACAATCGTAACGTTAAGAGTAAATTTGATTCAGCTTCTAAATCCACGCTAAGCTTCTTTAGCCGTGGAAAATCAATGTGCAAATGTGCAGCCAATAGACGATTCTGATTCTTCTATTGACTGCATTGCGACGCACGTGATGCTGCTGGGTGGCTTCAGCCTAGCCAGCGTAGGCGGCATACAAACCTGCACTGCCCGGCTGACGACGCCCTTTTCTTGGCCGTACGTTTTCTGTAATCCATTTCAGCGTTGGCTGCACCGTCTTGTCCTCCAGATATCCTCTACTCACGGGCTTCGTATACCTTCATATATCGATGTACCGCATTTGAGCTGGCTCTCTCCCTTTGAGGCTCTTTTGTATGCATCTTACACACAAGTTTAAACTTACAGTGTCTGAAAGCTATGGTATGTACCACATTCCAAGATTCATTGAGAAAGACAATATCGATATTTTTATTTGTCTCTAAAAGCAGCCAGTTCACAGCGTATGTCGAAAAGGCCGGCAGTGCCATCCTTCGACGCGCTGTCGATTTCTCGTTCCAACCGCGAAACAACATCGATTTCTCGGAATGGATCGCTCTCCTAACCCTTTGTCTCGCTCCTCTGGTCATGCACATCGTCGCCGGTGTACCTACCCCGACCTATTTTGAGCATAAGCGGCCCCAGTGGCACGATCAAATTACCCATTATAATCCGACTTCGATCATCTGGCGATACTTCGTCATTACTGACAGACGTGTTCGTGCAAAATCGTGGAATGCCGAGGATATGGCTGCAAGCAATGCCCTCTTCTGGACAGCAAAAGGCTGGGACGGATCGGAGTCTATAATGCGCAGCAGTCGAGTCTTTTTGACAAGAATACCAAGTCGCGCACGGATCAGTTTCTTTTCTGCGACTTCAGCAAAGACGCTCACGATAACCTTGCAGGGTGTACAAGCTATCTATTGCTTATTGGTCAAACCCTTGAATTGGGGCGTTGAAATGGCAATCGATTCTATATTTTTCCCCTTGGCCTTACTCGGGCTTTTGAGATTGCCAGCCGCAATATGGTTGACTGAAGACTACTCTTACGCTGACTACAACACTGACGTGAAGATCCCGCAAGTCCCAGCATCAAATCGAGATTCCAATGTTCGGCGATCTCAGGACCGTCCATTCACACAACCGAAAACGCTTAGGACCATGGGCCTGCTGGATGCGTCACCCTCCTTATTGGTTAAGAGCGAATACGCTGCACAAAACTGGCGCGGCATCCTCGTCCGCGTTCTGTTCCTACTCCCACTCGCTGGCTTCGCTCTAATAAGCCTTTGCTTCACGTCCCTTCGGAGCGGTGTAATCTTCACAGTTACAGCTTTATGCCTCAATCTATTCTACACCGTCTTTCTCTGCGCGTCTGCCACTATTCTCAGCGCGTATATCATCCTCGGGCGCTCCACAACGACGATAATCCCATGTATCACGTCTTGTTGGTATAAAGTCTACACCGCCTTTCTAGGATTACTGGCATTCCTTCTCATACTAGCTGCAGCCCTGGAAACCAAAAAAACGCCCTGCGGCAAACATACTACCCTTGGAAAGAACAGTTTTGTTGAAGTTTGTGGCGAGAAGTTTTTCAATGCCAGCACGACAGAGGGGCTTTTTGGTGTGGCAGAATGGGTGACGGTACCAATGCAGGTGGCGAAGACCCGGATGGAACTGCATAAGTTCGATGGCTGGTGCAGTGGTAAGCTTGATAGCGCTGTTTTCTTCTCCGCGAACCTCACGGCAAGCACGCCTTAAGCTTGGGAAGGGGAAATAAGGGGTTATGGCAGGAATACCAGTCCCACTCTTATGAACTCGTATCCATAAAACACTAATTATCGCCGTGCACAAGCACTATTCAAGTAGGCTGATATCCTACGCCTTGTCATTCTCGCCGGTTCGATAACCCCTATCTCGTCCGTGCCAGCTGGCTGTTGAACCAATACCCGTTCGTACCTTCCACAGGTTACTACTGGTGGAAGGTACGAAGAGGTACCGACAGTTCGGTTCAAACTGTTCTGCTACATCAGGGGTAGGTGGGATCAGAAGGGTCACCAGGGTGTCAGCAGGGTTTGCGACCACAAAAAAGCGGGTTTGTCCCGCCAGACCGAAATTCTAATCGAATAATGTTCCCGCTATTCCATTCATGAAATTTCATGCATACTGTTTGACGTTTCTGTTTTCTTGCACTCTCACAATACGCGCCGAGTAGATGGTTTTGGAAATGGCTAAAACCCAACAGTTGGTGGCCGGGCCGCCTTGTCTCGTCCCTTTGAACCGCCCCGAAAAGCGTTTCAAAGTCTGCAGATTATTGGTTATAACGGGGAAGATTTCCAAGATTGCTTCCTAATGATTTATTTCACGGTTGCTTCAGCTATCTTCTCTTGCTGAAGGCAACGAAATTCATACTAGCTATCCACCATTTCCCCTCTCCGGACCTGTCAATTGTGCCATGGCGCCGATACAATGGGATGCATATCGAAGTCTCAACATCACCAGTCGAGACAGCAGTAGCATGACCTGTGTTGGAAACAACATATATGGAAAGCGATGTCGGTGGGACATTCCAAACAAGAAATTCTCTCAAATATGCTCCATACTGGACGAATTCGAGACCAAAGCACCTGCAAAGGCGGTAAAGTCACTAGAACGTCTCGCTCAATTGAGTCTTTGTGAAAAATACCATCAGGGTCAAGCCTTCGAGAAGATTGACGAATGGGAGGTAGCTATTCGGGATGCAGCACAATTCTATGAGAGTGGTAGAGGTCTGAAGGACAAGAATCGAGAACTGAAAGAAATGTTGAAAGAGGAAAGATCACAGAGAGAGGAGTTGGAGCGAAAATTCGAAGCAGAGATTTCACGAAGAAAGGAGGAGCTGAAATCGATAGGCTCAATGAGTCTGGAGGTATCCTCATTGAGAGCGAAACTCAAACAAGCAAAGGCAGAAGAAAGGGACAGCAAGGAAGTCGCCCAGAAAATGTCAAACTCCTATGATAAATGCGTAGCTGAAACGGAGGAGCGCATTTCGAAACTTCAAGCTGGGTGGAAGGATGAACGTCTGAATATGAAAACAACGCTGCAGAAGGAAGCGCAGACAAATCGCTCCATACGCTCAGAACTGAAAAAGTTGAAGGAGACCGAGATGACCCTTGCCAATCAGGCTTCTGAGTTGACCTTACGACTCGAGACCGAACTTCATGCAAAAGTCACACTGGAGTCAGAACTGATTCTAATCAAAAGTGAACGAGACTCGGCTTTGTCAGAGAAGGACGATTTCAAGTCTCAGCTCCAAATTGCGGCAGAGAACATCGACCGATTTGGGCTCAGCTTGGAGGAAGCCGAAGCAGCCAGAGATACATTGTCTGAGGAGGCAAAACGCCTTCATGCGCGGTTGAGTATCGAAGACCAGAATATCAAGGCTATTGGCGACGCGAAGGCTCAGCTCGAGGAGAAGTACGCAGGGCTTTTCCAAGAGGTGGGGACACTCAATGCTCAACTATCATCCGAACGGCGCAACGGCGCAGAACTACGCCAATCTTTGCAGACGGCAACGGACGATCTCTCGCGTACCCAGACACAACTCAGAACGGTCAAAGAGGACTTTTCCCACAACAAGGATGAACTGGAAAAGCTTCAGGTTGAATCCTCTGAGGCTCGAGATGACTTTGAAGAAGAGCGACGGAAATTGAGCATGCATCAAGCGGCATCCCTTGCTCGTATGGACGAATTAATACAGGAAATGGCATACACCAAGCTCCATCCGTTCAGGACGTTTTTCTTGAACGTGTTCGAGGTCGTTATTAGTTGGTCGAAGTCAGTGTTTGCGTGCTTTGGAAGATGGAGGAAACGGAAAGCGCTCGATCCCCCAACCATGGAAGAGAGCACGACGTCTGCTTGACGCTGCAATTCAAAGCGTTCTTCATAGAATTACATTCGTGATTAAGAGTTGGCCTTGGTGGTCGCTGAAGGGGACCGTCTCGTTAGAGGAAAGGAGTGGTTTTGGCGTGAGGTCAACCCATGTAATTATTTTTGTTAAAATGATGATGCACATCCTCTTGGCTTCAGGTTTTTACGCGTCCCCAATGAAACGATTCCCCTCGTAACTCGCTTTCTTCTGCGAGTCTAAAAGCTCCAGGACGCAGTCGCTAGCAGTTATCCAAACCCCACTAGCTCAATTTCAAGACCACATTGCACTTTGTGGCCGTAGTATGCGGTATTGTGAATGAGACGCAGAAGATAGATCCACTTTAAATTATACATACATGTTGAATCGATTTATGTTACATTTGACAAGGTCGTAAGGGCATGGCCGCGGTATTTCTTTACCCGGAATAAGGGAAATGTAAAACCACCCCCCTCCCCCACCCCCCCTAAATAAATGTAATAGTGGGTCCCCGTAAAACTAGCCTGGCACGGTCCAGTTGTCATACAAGAAAAAAACCCCGTGCCCTTTGACCCACTGTTACATTTAATTAGGGGGGAGAATATCATTCCGTGTCTCATCTTCAGCCCTCATCTTCTTTCCGTCAGCTTTACGCACACAGTTAATGATCTGCGACAAGTGCTACCTATCAGTTGCATGGAAAGAGCCGTACCAACCGTGGAACCCGGAATTAGCTGTTCTAGTTTTCAGAACAATGCTACGGAAACAAATGCTATGTGAAAAAGTATTGGCTCAAAATGAGATCTACCGAAATAAGCACTATAACGAATTATTATTCATGTCCCTTTGGAAGGAGAACCCGCGGACTCTAAGTTTACGGAAAGGTCCGAAGTGCCTAATCCGCACGGAACCACCGAGTACGGATACCGAATCGGAAGAAGAAGACATGGAAAATGATCAAGAACGAGGCGAAAATGACGGGCAAACTGTGGCAAACTCTGTGGAGGACTTGACAGATCCATTCATTGACGAAGAATGACCGCATTAGCGGGTTAAATCATCCCTAAAAAGAACCTATATCCCTTACAAAAAATGAATATCCTCGATGGTCAATACTGCACCTCCCTTTCCTAGCAGTACAAGGGTAGGCCTGCCTGTATAGTCCGAAACAACTTGACGTAGGGTGGCTGGTAAGTTGGGTTCGCTTCCCGATATATTGCTCCTGGTGGCGTAGACCCCTTCGACTAGTGGCCCTTTAACCGGGCGCTAGATACCAAAAATCAACGATAATGCAGTTAATGATCTGCGACAAGGAGGAGCAAAAGGGGCGGATACCAACGCCAAAGCTTTCCTTTTTTGCGTGCATGGTGGACCAAATGGGACTGGTTTGATCTACTTGTCTCTTTTCGGTCCCAATACGTGGGAGGTGTTTCTTCAAAGCCACATCATTTAACTCATCCTTATCGTCCGTATTCTTCTTCAATCTGAGTTCCTTCAACTTCACCAAGCTCCCCTTCCTAGGACCTCAGGAGGCATTAATCCTTTAACATTGAGGTCGGTACGCCTTCCCATCCCGCATCGGCTGCCCCAAAGAACGCATCTTCTTCTCGACGATGGAAGTTAGGTTAGACAAGAAGTCCACCGCAACGCAACCCAGGGTATAATACGGCCGCCACACTTGCTCTCGGTCATGATGACCAGGCAGGAGCAATTCGCCAACCCATTTCTCAGATCAAAGGTGAAGAGCACGATCGTAGGTCGTGGTGTTGATGAAGAAAAGAATGAACGTTGAGATAAATAGGCCGGGCGAGAAATCCCCTGACCTGCTTGCAAGGGTCTCGGCCTGAAGCTAACCACTGGGGGGAACCCTGCAAACGACAACCTCAAGCTCACTTCAATATTATCTCAATATTGCAAGAAGGCGACGATTATCAATTCCATCACCTCGACCCATTCAGAGTCTGTCACCTTCTATCCCTCATCTGCGGTGTGTACAAGTACTCCAAAGTCTTTACCCATCCTTCCATCTCAAAACTTCAAATTCTCCCTCTTGCAGATTTCACCGCAACCCCCTCTCACGCAACTATTAAAACTATGGACTCCCCATTATCCCCACCACCACTCAGCATCGCCATCATCGGCGCCGGAATCGCCGGAGTAACACTAGCCATCGCCCTCTCAGAACACAATCCCAACCTCTCTCTCACCATCTACGAATCCCGCCGCGAATTCAGTGCGGTCTCAGCCGGCGTAGGCTTCGGCCCCAATGCCCTCAAAGCCATGGCCTTGATATCCCCCAAGCTGATCGCGGCGTACGACCAAGTGAAGACGCCAAATCTCTGGCCAGAGAAGGATCATCTGTGGTATGAGTTCCGGTGGGCTGATACGGGAAAGCTGGTGCTGCAGGTGGAGAGTGAGAAGGGGTTTGCCCATTGTAATGCGAGTAGAGTGCATTTATTGGCGAGCTTGGCGGCTATAGTCTCTGGGACGGTGAAGGTTGAGTTTGGGAAGAGGCTCATTGATGTGCAAGACTCCGAAGACGCCGGGTTTGGTAATGGAGGAACGGGGAAAACTAGAATCCGGTTTGAGGATGGCACAGATGCGTTTGCGGATGCGGTTGTGGGGTGTGATGGGATACGGAGCGCGTGTAGACAGATTCTTCTGGGTGAGGATGAGAAGAGCGCGCATGCTGTGTATAGTGGCAAGTATGCGTATAGGAAAATGGTACAGATGAAGAAGGCAATTGAAGCTGTTGGGCCTGATGTCGAGAATCGTCAGATTTATTTAGGGAAGGGAAGGCATGTGCTAACATTTGCAATTCGCGGTGGACAAATGCTCAACATCGTCGCTTTCAAAGATAGTGGAGGAGCGCCATGGACGCAGAGACAATGGGTTGTTACAAGTTCGCGAGAGGCTTTACTAAAGGATTTCGCAGGCTGTGGTGATAGGGCTTCCAAGATATTAGAGGTATGAACTCTTGTCTCCCTCTTCACTTCCATTTCTATCTCCCTTTCATTGTCTATTCTTCCAGCTTATCGACGAACCCGAAAAATGGGCATTGTTCAACCACCTTCCGGCACCCACCTATGCTAAAGGTAACCTTTGCATTCTTGGAGATGCAGCACACGCCACTACTCCCCACCTTGGTAAGTCAAGAAAGGTCATTGACTCCATCCAATTTCAGACATCTACACCCAAGATGCTCGAACAATTCATCGCGACACTAATGAAAGATCCCAGGCTCCGGCGCAGGTTGTGCAATCGAAGATGTGCACCTCCTCTCCGGCCTTCTAACACCCTCCTTAATCAAATCCGCCTCAGACATAAAATGTGCATTCCTTGCCTACGACGCTCTCCGTCGACCCAGGTCGCAGGACTTGGTGAGGAAATCACGAGCACAGGGACATATATTACAACTTGAGAGCGAGTTGCCAGATCTTGCGAATGGGAATAGGGAGGCATGGCAGGAGTATTTGGAAAGGGAGATGGATGTTAATCCGCGTTGGGTATGGAATGTGGATTTAGAGGGTATGTTGGTGCAAGCGAGAGAGTTATTTGAGAGTATTCGGCAGGGTGAGAAATGTGCTGTGGACGCTTAGACCTGAAAAGGGAAAGGTTGGCTGTGTTAGGTGAGAGTCAACGATCGAATTGTATTTCATGAAGTAGACTGTTACTGGGAAAAAATTTGATTATGCTTTTACACATGTCTTCTATTACTATAAGAATGGTCTCATCTCGTTCATAACCACAACTCCACATCGTTTAAACCCATTATCAACCAAATCCAGTGTGTCAAAGGATTACTCAAGCTATTTAAGTTATTCATGAATATTCATGAGTAAATTAAATAGAATATAAGTAACGTAGTAGCTTAAATAGCTTGAGTAAAGTTGAAAAGCTATTTATGAATAATCACGTGAAAGTCACGAAAGTCACATGACTTGAATAAATCGACTTATATTTAATCTTTAAAAATAACTAAGGTAATTATTAAGCAATCCTATATAAGGCTACTTAAATATTAATTTTCTATAATAAAATACTAATTATTCTCCTCGAAATAATTACTAGTAATTTAATAAGATAATAGAAGGGTAAAAACGCGAAAAAGCGTGTTATTTTAGTATTGCGAAGTCTACTACTTTATTAAGCTAAGCTTAAGGAGCCCCTGCTAGCGCTATACTAATACCTACTCACTATATATCAATATTCCTTCGCCCCAGTGTAATAGCGGCAATGTCCCACGCTAGCCTCTCCTCTTTTGCATCCTTCATCACGGGTTAATTGCTGCAGCTTGCAGTAGGGACCTTGTTCTTGCAGTAGTGCTGTGTTACGGCTGACATTTTCCCTTCAAAATGCTTCATGTTTATTCGCCAGCTTCGTCCTTGAGAGACAATCAAAGCTATTCTGCCGGTGGTGTCACCTGCTCGATTTGGCGTGCTTCTTAATGTCGCTTATAGCAGGAAAGCTTTTTCTTGCAGTATTAGCTACGGGCCGCTAACCACCCCAGTCAATGCTGGATAAAGACCAGACCACGTTTTCTTCACATTCATCCCGTCACTTCTTCCTCCCACTTTCTCCCTCATCTATCTAATTCAACGCTTTGAGGAGTTGAATTGGGACCCCACGGAAATGGACGACACGAATACCAAGGTGCCAAACAGCCCTCAGGCGAGTGAGGAATTCGAGGAGAAAGGCAACCAAGCAAATACCTCTGCCACGGAGGATCAAGATGAACGCTTCAATGTAGATGAGGCTATGGATAAGACAATCAATTGGAAGTGCGACTTCAAGCTACTCCCACCACTCATTTGCCTGTTCATGATCACTTTCATTGATCGTACCAACATCGCCAACGCGAAGATCGAGGGTATGACAGTTGATTTAAGAATGAAGGGCAATGATTACAACACCTCTCTTTGGATCTTGAACATCCCTTACATCTGTCTCGCTGTCCCCAGCAATATGCTCATGAAGAAGGGCTTTGTCAAGCCATCAGTGTATTTGTCTGGTATTATGTTCTGCTGGGGTAAGAGACATCCCAACTACTTGCCTATTTGCCTAATTCTTGACTAAAAGAATTCACAGCACTATGCACGATTGGATTGGGCTGTACAAAGACTTTCAAAGGTATTCTTGCATGCCGATTCTTGATGGGAGTTTTCGAATCTGGCTTTGCCCCTGGTGAGTTCTATAGTCGAACTGATATTTGCACCTACTGACTTTGAAGGTTGCGCGTATCTTATCAGTCGTTACTACAAACGCCGAGACTTCTCTATCAGATATGCAGTGTTCTTTAGTGCTGCTGTCCTAGCTGGGGCGTTCGGTGGCGTATGTAGTATCTTGCGTTTTGATCCTTAAATCGCTGATGGTTCTAGTTCCTGGCTTATGCAATTGAGCTTATGGATAAAGTTGGCGGCTATGCTGGCTGGAGATGGTAAGATGAGCAGGCCGATTTTATGCTGAACAAAGGTGACTAGTCTTCAGGATCTTCATTATCGAAGGTTGCATCACCATCCTAGGCGTAGGTATCGCTCTCCTTTGTATCCCAAGCTATCCCGAGGACTCCACCTTCTTGAAACCAGAGGAGAAGCAATACCTCTTAGCAATGCTTAAGAAAGACGCCGGAAAATCCCGTCCAAACCACTACAGCTCCCTCGTAATCAAAGAATGTCTCCTGGATCCCAAGATCTTGCTTGGGTACAATTCCCCCTTCCCTCTCTGGAATAGTTACTAAGAGTTCTCAAGAACACTCGCCTACTTCGGTGCCGACAATGCCGCCTCCTCTATCGTCTCCTTCCAACCCACCATTCTCAAGTCCCTCGGCTACTCCAATGCGCAAGCCCAAGTCCACACCATCCCCGTGTACATAGTAGCCTTCTGCGTTCTCTTGATCTGCGCCTACCTCTCCGGAAGGCTAGGTCGCAGATACATCTTCCTAATCTTCGGCGCTGCCATCGGCATCGTCGGCTGGTCCATCGAACTCGCACAAGTAAAAGCCGTCTCAGCCCGCTACTTCGGCATGTTCGCCATCACCGCTTCCGCATACATCCAGATGCCCATCCTAGTCGTCTGGCTCTCCAACAACATGGGCGGTAATGCCAAAGCTGCGTTCGCTACTGGCTTCATGATTGGCTTTGGGAATTGTGGGAATCTGGTTTCGAGTAATGTGTTTATCACGGACGAAACACCGCGGTTCAAGACCGGGTTTGGCACCGGTCTGGGGTTGAATATTTTGGGGGTGGTGGCGAGTACTACTTTGGAGTTGTATTGCTGGATGGCGAATCGGAGAAGGGATGCTGGGAAGGATAATGCGAAGTTGGATAATAGTTCGGAGGTTTTGCGGGATTTGGGAGATCTTCACCCGGATTTTAGATACATACTATGAGAGCTGGAACCCTTGATAGGACATAGGCTCACGCCCTTTGTGAGTGATATCTTTCTCCTATTTCGTTCTATGTATTTCAGCTACTTATTGGATAGTGTCGCATTTATAACATTCGAAAGCTCTTTCACTATATATACACGGGGCTAGATGTCTTCTCTCATACACATTTATTTCTGAACCACCCCTTCATAGTTATACTTTAATGATATCCCTCAAAGTAGAAACTTCTTTGCTGCGCTGACACTGCTGCCATTTGTAGGCGTGAACCCAAGGTCCAGCATTCGAAGGAATTACTAGAATCCTCGGAGCAGGTCTTGACTGGTCGCTTTCGGCCCTGGACAACGAAGCTGGACGCTAGAAAGCAGCAAGGTCAGCGAGTCTCGCGTCAAGGCAGCTGTTGATCTGGGATTACATACAGCAGGAGACGCCACGTTTGCTTAAGCAACGAGATTTGCTCGGATTCGGCGGGGTTGAGCCTCGAGTTCCGTTGTGTCGGTCGATGAAGTAGACGAAATAGCCCGACTTCGAGTTCACATGCAATGGTAAATTCCCAGTTGTTCTCTCTCGAGTTCACCTTCCGACTCTATCCCGATTCACCTTTCAATTCAACTTAGGCTGCACAGGCGTAAAGCCAACCTTTCCACAAAGCAACTGGCCGTTCAGAGGGGAAGACTCGAAGTAGGATATACACTTGGTACACCAGCATTCTCGTGCAATTCACATAATTCAAAAGATGGTGAAAATATAATGCAAACGCTAAATACTCCAAATCTATACTACCTACCACCTACAGCTCATCGTGCTTCCCCACCTTCTCTTCATCCTTCTTGACCTCATCCGTCGTCGGTAATTCATCGTCCGGAACGACCTGCTCCCCAGCATAATACCTCTCATTCTGCGCTTTGGGATCAGCAGCCGCGTTCTCAGCCTTCGACTTCTCAATCCACGCCATGATCTCCTCCTCCGTTGGCATCTCACCATCCTCGCCAATCTTGAAGCTGGGCATCCCATCTTCGGTGAAACCCAAAGTCTTCTCCGCCTTCTCTGCTGACCCCGTCTTGGAGCCTTTAGCCTTTTTCGTGGAAGTCTTCTTCGCCTTCTTCTTCAGCTTTGGGGTAGGACGTTTGGACTTGTAGGGTTGTTTCATAGACTTCATTATCAGGTTGACGTGCATATCCGTCAGTTCTTTAGATTTTGCGGTCAGGTCTTTGGTGAGGAGGACGGGGTCTGCGGTCTCGGAGAGCTCCTCTTGCTCGGCAAGCTTTTCTGCTAACCATTTGGAGATGGTGTCGTATTGTGCTTGGGGTTTGACAAGGTCTTCTTTGGTGTAGACGGGTGGGTCCATGGTCTCTTCTTCGATCGGAGCAGAGGTAGTCTCTGTTGCTTCTTCGTCTTCTAGGCCTTCAAATTCGTTAGAGGTCGGGGCGGCGGTTGTGGTTGCTGATGCAGCTGCTGATTTAGATGAACTGAATGATGCGTGGGCTTTTGTATCGTTATGGATTTGTTCAGTAATGCCGGCGATGACTTGTTTGGTCTGGCTCAAAGCGTCTTGGAGAGCCTTGATTTTTTCTGGCCGCGTTGCAGCTTCATCCATGCGGAATTCGATTGGTGTGACGCTGTCCTTCATCTCTTTCAGCTTGGCCTTCAATTCCTCTCGGCTGGCGTCAGCACCACCTGAGTAGATCCAGTCACTCGCTGCTTTGGATTTGGACTCGAGACTAGCACGCTCCTCTTCGGTCGATGCTCCAATGAATTCGGGCTTGTCGAGAAGATCTCGAACTTTGTAGGTGAAACCTTCCAACTGGTTGAGTGATTCTTCTCTCAACCGCTTCGAACGATCGGCATCATCGAAGGACTGTAAACGGTCTTTCATGCGTTTGATCTCTGCGGTGGGTATTTGTGGAAGACCCTTCATTTCAGTCGTATATTTCAAGGGAATGACTTCGAGTCGCTTGGTTTGCTTCGGCTTCGTATCTTTGGCATCCTTCGACTCTTTTGCTGATGCAGAGGACGTTGATGGGGTTGAGGTTGAGGACGAGGATGAAGAGGTGCTAGTTTCAGTTGTGCTCGTGCTTTCAGATACCGTTTCTGTCTCCCCGGCATCCTCGGCGAGTGGTACCTGATCCTTCTTTCCAAATCCAAAAAGGCCTTTGACACTATCGACCATGCTCTCCTTTTCCTCCGACACATCAACCTCGCAATCCACGATGAACTTGATAATTTCAACTTCACCATTGACAGGAGAAAGACGAGTGGTTAGTCTGACATTTATGTCTCCATCAGTACAGCCGAAATTGTCCTTAAGGCGGGAAACAGATTCAGTCAGATTTTGGGATGTGAGTGTCAGCAGCTCCTTCTCCGCTGATCCAGGTGAGACATTCTCAGATGAAGGAATGTGCTGGTAGAAATCAATTGTGAATTCCTTCTGGTTCTTGAAGGCATACTGCTTCTCGGCTCCCAAGAACGAGGTTGATTGCCAAAGTCTCTGGTGTTGCGGCTTCTCGTGGATGTTGGTCCACTTAATGCCAGCTGCGTATGCAGCACCTTCGAATGCTCTGATCTCCTTGACACGGAAAGACGGACTAAGGCCCGCACCTCTGAATCCAGCTCCAAACACAGCAGCCTCGTCAGAATTGACATTGGATCGAATCTTGTCTGACGCTCCGACAATCTTCTCAAGAGCCTTCTGTACAAAGGGGGTTCGAATGGCGCCTCCATGGAGAATGACGGAATCGAGATCCTTGACATCCATATTGGCCATGTCGAGAGCCTTCTGAACTGCAACGCCAATACGGGCCGCATAAGCCTCCGTCATCTTCTCGAAGTCCGCCCGACTGATCTTGTACTTGAAGTCGATATCCTCGTACAGACCCTCGAAGCTGGCTTGTGTATTGGCATTGGCGCTGAGAACTTGCCTCAATTTTTCTGCTTCTTTTAGAAGCTTTGCTGCAGCCCGTCCATGGCCTTGGACAGCCTCAATGGTTGGTGATAAGCTCTTAGCTTTCGGTGATGCAACAAATTGGGTAATCATGTCATCCATAATAACCGCATTGAGAGCATCTCCACCAAGCGTTCTGTCCCAACCGCTGCCTAGAACTTGAACCTCCTGAATTGTCTTGTTGAATTTCCCGACATCCTTCACTGTCCGTCCTTGAAATTTCAATATCGTGGCCTTTGTCGAGCCAGCACCCATGTCAAACACCATATGATATTCCGGCTTTCCACCCTCATTGATGCTCGGAAAAGTTCGAGAAGTAGCGTAGTTCAGCCCGACAGCCAATCCGTCACTGACCAACTCCAACAGTCTCAGTCCTGCTAACTTCGCAGCCAATTCTACAGCCCTCTTCTCCTGTGCCGTATAGAATGGTGGGATTGTAACGACCAGGTCCTTGATCACACTATCTTTCCCTGCCATTGCCTCTGCGTTCTTCTGGATACTTTGTAGCTCCATTGCGAGTATTTCCTCCACCATCCATGCTTCCTCGTCCGCTGGGAATGCACCGCTTCGGAAAGCCGCAGTCGCCCTTGTTTTCTCAGCCTCTAGTTTCAAAGCGGGGTGCCGCGAGGCATATTCTTTCACGACCGAGTTGTCTACCCCAAGTCCAAGCACTCTCTTCAGGTTTGGGTATACATCGCCCGGGAATCGAGCTGACAAGGCAAGAGCGTCGGAGCCATAAACTCGTTCTGGGAAATCTCCACTCTTGATGTTCTTCGAAGGCTTGAAAGCTACGGCGGACATCTCTTTCCGCCGTGAGTCTTTTGTTAGGACAATTTCGAGAGGGATTCCTGGCTTGACGAGAGCTGCTTTGATGTATTCGGTCCCGAGGTCAACCCCTATTACTGCAGACGCAGCCAGTGCGGTGGAGCTGAAGAGAAAGAAGAGGCATACGAATGCCAGCACTGGAGAGCGTAGCATTTTGTTGGAGTGCCGCAAATTGGGGGCCATGCTGGGTGGTTGTGGGAGGGACGACTGCTGAATGAGTGAAGCAATCCGAGACGAAGAGGGGAAGGAAAGAGGATTTATATGAGGCCTAAGTGGACGACATAAATGTGGCCACAAGTCCTGAGTAGCAGCTTGCAAAGTAGTGGTGAATTGACAAAGAGATGGAGCTATCCTTGTCGCAACCAGAAAGGACACTTTTCCAATGAACTGGCCTTGGACGGAACAATTTTGCGGCCGCATTTGAATGAGTGCCTTGGGGTCAAGGCAACAAGATGACGTAAGACTTTAGTCATGTCGCCTCCCTGAAAAAGCCTTCCTGACTCGACCATCTCCAAACGATCAACGTCGAAAATCGCAGATCCGACCTGTCATCTGCCAACTCGCCAACGCATGTAATCAGCATGAAAGGCAAGCTGTTGCAAAGTCTGCTGTGACTCCTTCTTTGCTACACACAATTAACAGTTCGAAGAGCAACTAACGCCAACGATTGGAAGCGCACTGCAGAACAGAAATTTCGTCAGTTCGAGGATCTTCATGCAGTCACCGCCGTGGTAGAACATTCCCGTATTGGGCTTTTCACGACAGAAAGATAGTCACTTTGAGACTTATTTCTAGGAATTGGCAACTACAAATGAAGACTTCGGAACGACGACTCAAGTCGTTCTTCAGAGAATTAGAATCATCTTCGAACAAGAGAATACCTCAATTGAGCGGATAAGATAATATACAACTTGCACAATGGGAACTCCATTTATTGCCTTCATAGGTCCCACGAACCTAGATGGATACGATCGCGAACTCCCTCCTTCCAAACAGCCTGGCAATATCCCAAAGACTTTCCTGGACGCCATGGAGATCAGGGAGGAAGTATTCGTACGAGAACAAGGTGTACCATTGGACAACGAGTTCGATGCAGATGATGCTAGAGCTTGCCACTGGGTATGTTGCGACTGTCTCTCGGCACTGTATTAGGAGCTAATACTGCTCCAGGTTGTCTATGCCTCGATCAATACCAAAACGGCATCCGAACGGCAAGACGCAGATGGAAACATTGTCAGCGCAAAACAGAGCATAACTACCTCCAAACCGATCGGTACAATTCGACTCGTCCCATTTCCCCACCCACCACATCCCGAGCCCGGCTCCTCGTATGCAGCAGACGCGCTGGAAACCAGCTCCATACCCTCTACCGAACCCCTCCCATATATCGTCGACCGTCCCACCACTTACCACGACGGCAGCGAACCATACATAAAACTCGGACGTATCGCTGTAGTCAAAGAATTCCGTGGTTCCGGGATCTCCAAACTGCTAGCCAGCGCAGCAATGAGCTGGGCACAACAAAACCCAACATATTTCAACCCTTCAATCAGGAATATGGGAATGGAGAAGATGGGAGCATTATTGTTGGACGAGATACCTGTGTGGAAGGGTTTGATATGTGTCCATGCTCAGGAACAGGTTGCGAAAGCGTGGGCGAAATGGGGGTTTAAAGTTGATGAGGGGATGGGTACGTGGATCGAGGAGGGGATCAACCATGTTGGGATGTTTCAGAGGCTTAATCTTGTGAAGCCAGAGGGTTGACTTGGGATGACCTACGTGGAATTCTAAGCGTACCATTGCATTCTGGCTTTGCAGAACGGTTGATCACCGCACGGAAGTTATGAATTATTGGCTTTGGCAGGATGGTGTCTCAAAATCAACGTGAGACTGAGCTTTTCCATAGAGTATGGTGTTTTATGAAGTCAAATGACAATGCTATTTGACAAAGTTCAGGAACCTCCCAAGTGCGGTCACTGGCGTTCTCTTGCTTGTGAACTTGCTTTTGGAACATCTCCTACTCTTTTTATTTTTTTTTTCTTCATTTTTTTTCTTCAGTTTTATGTGTCACGCTTTTGCATTCTTCGGAAGCAACCAAAGGGATCTGCACAAGTACTGTTGAGGGTATCCCATTCAGAGGGCAGGGATCATAGACGGAAAGATTGTGCCAAGTCAAGTGAGAATATAAGGAGAGAAAGGGGAAATCAATCTACGCCACAAGGCCTGACGTCGAGCAGAAAGGGAATGATTTTTATCGACTAGGCTGGCTCAGACGATTTTGAAGTCAAAATCTTCAAGAACAATCCTGATTCTTCTTTGCTATCTGCACTCTTCCACCAATATCCGCCAAGCCAACTTGTGTTTTATCCTGCTTGGCAGCAATTATCCACTTCCTCATCGTGTTTCCTCCACTCCATTCGCCATATTCAGCCAAGGCTCCGCCTCTCGGCATTTCTAAATACTGCCAACACAGACCACCTATTCCGCAGCAAAACATATTGACAACCAAGGCAAAAGAGTGCTGTAATGAATAGATAGATATCGACTTCTCCGACCATGGCGTGTCTACACACACCGTTCTATGCCCTTTCTAAACTTAAAAAATCAACCACAGGACAAAGATAAGAATGGGAAATAACAGTTGTGGCTAGTTTTCATTTACCCAGATTATCTAACTCATGGTCCGAAGATCTTCACTCGAGTAGAAATGGATGGCTACCACTTAGTCCCTTAACAATCTGCAGTCACCAACCATCGGACTACCGAGGTGCATACGAAACTAAATAAGAACGTTTTCCTAATACTGCAAGATGCAGTGCTGTTCCGTTCGAAGTGGGGTTCGTGGAACCCGTGGAACCCGAGGAACATCATCCGAGCGCTCGCGATGGACAAGGAAAGCCTCGCCTGATATCAAATAGATTAAAGTCAATAAAAAGGTAGCGGCACGTAGCCCTATGGCGAATTTCCGGGTTGCACAACATATGGAAGTTAAGAGTATTACTCAGCCAATTGTGGTGCCGAATCAAAACCTTCCGACGGCTTCCACGCCCTCAAAACACTCTCCCTCCACGCCCACATAACAGCCATGCCCGCCCCCGGTCCACAAACCACCATCGTCCCCGCAAACACACCCACGATCCTCCCCAATCCCACTTTAAGCAAGCCCTCTCTTTTCAGATCCCAGAAGTGCAACAACGTCCACACTGCCCCGGCACCAAAAGAACAAATTTGATCATACCTCAACACCTTCGCGGCGCCATAAAGCATCGTGTGCTCTGCTTCGGGATTTCGAAGATTAGAGAAAAAGATGCGTGACATAGGGACAGGCGAGAAGAGCCATAGGTAAAGATAAACTCCCGCGGACGCAGCTCCGGAAAGTCCATAAGCAAGGTTTATCAGACCGGAGAGATCTGCATTCTCATTCTCTCCTCTGTCTTTGACGTTCTCCTCCTCCCCTTCAATTTGCTTAGCGAATCGTGCAAGTAGTCGTTGCACAACGGCAGCATAGAGAGGGAAAGGCTGGAAGAAAACACCGTTTATCCACTGTCTGTTTACGAGGCCCGGGACTGAGAACATCGCTACTGTTGGCGCGATATAAGCCAGCCCAATCGTCGGCAGTGTCGTCTTAAGCTCGTTCCTCTTCACACTCCTCTCTTTTTCTGTCGGATATCGAGAGAGTGGTGATTCGATGTAGTGCAGAAAGCAGTATATCGGCGCTACATAAGCAATTCCACCTAACTGGGTGAGGAGCGTGATTGCTGTGCGACTGTGTCACCAGCGATGTCAACTCCTTCTTCCCTCCTGGTGACTCATACACATTATACATTAAAAGAAGGGACATAATCTTACAACTTCGCGGTAATCCTCCCAACATCCCCGACTCTCGACCCCTCAACCATCCAAATAACCTGCAGCGGAATCAGATCCACGAGAAAGGCAATGGCTTGTAGCCTACCGATGGGATCGAGACCTCCGATTGACGGCGTGAAGAATGCGGTGAACATTGCGATAACATCGTCGAGTCCTGAGATTCCGAAATATTTTGAATTGAAGGGCACGATGACTCCAGCGTCGAGGGTAAGTTGGGTGCTGTCGGAGGAGATGAGCGGTTGGAGCAACCGGAGGGAGGTCCCGAAGGTGCGGTGGGCGCCATAGAGAATGATGAGGAGAGGGAGAGCGCGGAGTGCTCGAGCCCACTTCTTTTCTCCTTTTGTGGCCAGCTTTGAGGGAGCTGGGGCCATGGTTTCGGTCTGAGAGGAGAGATTTTGGCGATGGAAGTGGCGTGGTAGGTGGCGGGGTAGGTGGGGTTGCTGTCCTAGCTACGGAGATAAAGCTAAAACCTCCGTAATTATAATAATTATTGAGTACTTGTTTATTGCGAACCACTTTTAATTTGTCAAATACTAGCTTTAATTATCGAGTAACAAAAGCTACTATTTGGTTATTATGATTACTAGTAATTAAAAGACGTGGGGCCGTGCGAAACAGGCTCTAAGCAAAGCGATCGCGCTACGCCTAATTAAGAGATATCAACTGCAACACTCCTTTATTTTCTGCCTCGTAAGTAGTCATCCTTAAGCACAGTTACGAAACAAAGCGGTGCACTATTGTTTATTGTATAGGAGCCAATAAATAGAACAGATACTATCCTAGACAATATCTGGAGAACAAGTGATAAACCGTGCACGTCTGTATAACTTATACAATCGAGATTAATGTAGGTGCTACTTCCTCTAGGAATGCTCCCATATCCTTTGCTATCTCGTGCGGGAGCTGATGTATTATGGCGATACCGAGCCTCTCGAATGCTCCCGGATATCGGAGCGAACGGCCAAACAACATAAACCTGTGTCGCAAAAACTCAAAAGGTGTATTAATATCGCTTTCGTTATCGCTTTCTGGGTAAAGAAGATATGCTTTAGCTGTCGAGTAAGGCATACACCATACTTGCGACGACGGTGGACCTGCTCCGTATATTGAGCGCCAGGCAATGCCAGGCAGTGCTATCGCATCATTTCGAAGGGTTGTAAAACCATGTGTCGCATCTTTTCGCGGGTATTTGATGTATACCAAGGGGGCGTCCAAGCGCATATTAAAGCAGTTGATAGCGTTGGGAATTTCGAAGCTCCGCCTATTATGACAAAATGTAGCTTTTGAGAGACGTGGGAGCGGCCCGTAACGGGAGTTGTCAAAGTGCATCTATGCCGCAAACACCTTCCCCTTCAACACACATATGCGACGCTCTCTGCCGTACGATAAATAGTGCGACTCGAGGGGATATAGTCCAAAATACATTGGGTAGAACTTGGTGTTTGCTCCCGCGCGATGCGTTTCTGGGTCATAACTCAGGACTCCGCTTACGGATGCCCAACTCCAAGTTGGCACTCCAGCGATGCACTGATTAGTGGGCATGTAGCGCTCCCATCCCAACTGGTGGACCATTCGGCTCTCCCATAAGCCAAATCGAAAAATGTCTCCTAGCCTCTGCTCCAGTCGTGTGGCCACAGCAGAGATTGCGACAATGCGATCGGTTTGCCTTGATAACTGCCTCATAGTGTACATCGGCACTATATGAGATATCCAGAGTTCATGAATATCTGATGTTGATTTCCCAGGCGACGTCAAACGAGCTATATTCATGTCGCTGTCATTTATAGGACTTTCCCAGGACTTACGAGGACTGTCATAGAGGAAATGTTTCGAGTGTCTGCCATAAGAGCATTCGCAAGTCTCGATGACATTACAGTGCCAAGACAATTCCTCAGGACTATAGCAAAGATAACGTCGCGCTAGCATCTTCTCCTGGAATGCCCATGCTCTCTTGGCTAATGGGCCCTCGTCAAGCGTGCATTGGTAACGAGCGCCTAATCCATATTTGATACAATAGGACTTCGCAGGATCTCGTTCGTCATAAAAGTAAACGGATCCCCCGGGATGGCGGCGTTCCTGGTTGAGGAAACCCTCGTATGAATCTGTCGCCGAGCTTGCAGCTAATACAAGATCTGCATTGCCGTACACTTGAGCCATTCGACTTGCCTCTCTCTGCCAGTCCTGCGGGTCGTCTTGAATGATGCATAAAGCATCAATCCACAAGTATTGGTATCCAAACGACTTCGCTACCTGAATTGCGTCTATGATTGTAGCTGGTATATTCGCAACCGGAATACCTGCAGTGAAAATATCTAACATGTCTCGGGTAGTGGTGAAGTTCCTCTTGCTCCCCCAACCATAACTGAGGGCCGCATAACTGCCGACTTGCCCGTTACTCACAAACAGCCAAGGCTGTTTGTGTGTGATATCGAGGACCCTTGTTGGTAGTTGCGTAGGCATCGCGAGTGAACATTCTGCATGCTCCGTCTGACACTTGGTAAGCCAATAGCGGGCATACTCTAAACATTGCTTAGAATCAGCCCGATGGGCTACATCAGGCCGCTCCGGGAGGGGTAAGGGACACGGCAGACCTTTGCCTGAGTCAGTAGAGCTTTCAAGCTACCATTCTTATTATATACTCACCGGGGTCCTTGTACAAACAGAACTCATAGGTAATAGTGTCGAAGCCCCCTTCTATTTGTATGTGGTTGTTTTCCACTATAACGTATCGTGCTCGGCCAGCAGCCGCTTGACAAACTTGGATACACCGTTTCCAGATCGTGCACATCGCGCAAGTGTCCTGGAATTGAGATAGAACGGTTTCAAGATCATTACTTCTCCTTTCTTCACTTGCACGCCAGTTGCATTTCGGACACTTGGTCGAAGCATCCAAGGGGCCAGGAAGCTTCGTTGTGTTTGCCCGTGTTCGCCGGTGGCGAGTCTCGCCAGTCTCAGAGCCCATCTTATTGTCGCTGCGGAATTTCCACGAGAGGTGAATAGGTAGTGAGTGAACAGAAGGCTACATTCTGAAGATTTAAATCTCTTCTGATGTCTGGGATTGAGGCTGTGTATGTGTGTAACCATAACATCGTCGACACCTTACTGGTTAGTCTGATCTTGAAGAGTGTTTGGCCTGCGGTTGGTCCTTTTAATGTCGGATGCGCCATCAAATCAGAGCTTGGGTGTGGCTACCAGTTGTTGAAGTGGAAAGCGGGTGGGTTACGACGGCGAGGCAGTGCAGTTGACACTGCGAATGGGAAGGACGGGATGCGGAAATGTGAGCGTGGGAATAGTGTAGGTAAACGCTGTGATCTGAAATGGGGGTCCTATGGCGTCGACATGTGCCGAGTCTGGAAACGTTTGGTATAGAATGCGACGAAGTCGTCGACTCGTCGGGCAGAAGATTTAACAATTGGAGGAGGTTGAGAGTATGCTGATAGAAGGGATCACCAGCCAACCGCCCAAATCACTCAACTGCCCAAGCAAAAGTTTGGAAAAATTTCAAAGGGCTCAGAAAATTCTGAAAATCTGTGGAATGACTAAAGCGAGGTCGTAGATCACGAATATTAACTTATTTTCTTCATTTTGGGATGTGGTTGTGGTGTGGTCATAATAAAACTATTTTTTGGGCGGTTGAGTGATTTGGGCGGTTGGCTGGTGATCCCTTCCTATATACGCCCACTGGGGCAACCGTCAAACCGACTGTGTTACTCCTTTGATCAGTCGTCCGAACCTTCAAATGGTCGCTAAACATATGCAAAGATGCAGACTCTCCCTGATTCGTAAGACTGCTCACCCACACCGACAGAAGGAAAGGCTGTTCACATCCCTTGGTTCATCGAATCGTATCCCACCGGGTCAGCAAACCTTGTCGGGAATGCTCGCGCTTGCAAGATGATACACTGCCTTTACAGTAAATGCATTGCAATCTCGAGGCATGCGCAGAGAGGTTGCATCCCCTGCCCATAACGGGGCGAAGGAAAACGGCACACTTTGGTGTGGATTGAGACATCCATCAAGGACGCATTGCAAGAATTGGGGGTCGCAGCAGTTTAAGGCTACCTCCCCAGCGTCGACTGGCAATTGCAAGTGCTCTAGGCTTCCAACAAACGTCGAAAGACGCAGACCCCGAATCACAGATAGGCTTTGCGTGCATGAAAGACGACCATCACCCCCGACCGAGTGCCTACATAATAGGGTTGAAATAAATTTTTTTTTTAAAAAAAGGATGATGGAGCGTTGATGAACATCTGAGCGTAGGGCCTCACCCGACAGCACGAAAACGGAAGGGCATGGCGTTCCTAACGCCTACGATGCGATGATATGGAGGGTAATTGTCAAGACCGTGAAAGGCACGACCAGATTCCGTGAGCAAGGCCTGCTGCAAGGTCAAGCCTTGCATGGAGGGAGTGCGTTTTCCAACGAATAGAGTCATGCAAGCCTACACCCCTTCAGTTGAGGTTGTGCCATCGCGGGTGAGTTTGGAACAAAAACCCAGCGCACCATTCAATTCAATGGTTTGGAGGCACCAGGGGCTTGCATCCCGCTGCGCCATGTGGCGGTTGCACGGGTTGCACAAGGAGGCCATTTTGAGCAGTTTGAAATTATTCCAGCAGGAAAATGGCCCAATGCCCACGGAAGGATCTCGCAAATGCTCCTCACCAGGGCGTATAATTTGATATACCCTGCTGTGTTATCTTTTAATTTGATGTGCCCTCTCCACCCGCCGCATTAATCTAGCCAATAAAACCATTAGTATTATGAAGCTATTAATCGCCATAGCTAGTATATTAATTGATCCTCCTATTGAGTATAGAAATTAAGTAGAATTATAAAGTGAGCCTTAATTAAGGGTATATAAGTCTGGTATTAATAAAATTAAGATTTTTTTAGTTCTTCAAATTCACCTATTTTACTATATAATTACAAAAACGTTACAACTTCATACTTATATTATAATACTATAAATTTATATAAAATAATTAAAATTATATTTATAGAAATCCTATAGCTACCTCTATTTAGAAATAAAAATATTATCCTAACTTATTAATAAAAAGTAAAAAAATCGCAAAATATAATAAAAAAAATATTATAATTATATAATAACTTAAAGAATATATCTTTTTTTATAAACTTTAAAACCAAAAAGCTCAAAAATAATATAATTATTTTTCCTTATCTAAGTAGTATTAAATTGCCTATTTAGGCTATTTTATTACTTATTTCCTAAGATTTCTTTTATAAAAAAAGTCTTTTATTTATACTAATTTAATAATCTTAACTCTTACTAATCTCATTAGAGTATTTTACTATTATTAATATTCTTTTATATATTTTATACTCTTTTTCTTATACTTATAATACCTGTATTTACTATTTTATTTCTTTACTTATATAACTATAGCCTGTTTTACTATTTTTAATCTAGTTTCAAATTATATTATTTGTTTTTAACTAAGCTTTTAATATAAAAGAAAAGCTAGAATCTATTTATAGAAAGATTTAGCTTGAACTTTATTAAAAATAATTACTTTTATAATTATTAAATAATTAATCTTATTACTATTTCTATTAAATGTTTTACTTTTCCGTATACCTTAATTATATACTAATTAGAAAGAATAATAGTCTCAAAACACGCTTATATAATTAAAGATATTCTTATTAGTTTTAAGAATAAAATAATAAGTATATAAATAAAAGAACTTATTATTTTAGAACTTTTTATAAGAGTAAAAGAGCTTCTAATAGCGAATTATATAAATTAAATAAAAGAATTAAAGCTCTTAATTCGAACTATTAAAGGTAATATTAGAAACTAGTATAATTCGGCTTTTAAATACCTTAATTTATTAATCTTATAAATTAACTATTTCGCTTATAATAATTACTACTTATATATTATTCTTTACTTTTATAATCTCTTTATAAATTAGTTTTAAAAAGTAGTTTATATATTTCTTTTTATTCTTATTAATTATTTTCTATATATATTTACTAGTATCTTATTAATAGAAAATAGCCTTTATTTAAAGAATATTAAGAAATTAAAAAAAGAAAGGTTTTAAATAAATTTAATAATATAATTATATTAAAGACTAGAAACCTATTATAATAAAATATTATTATTATAATATAATACTAATGTTTTATTATAACAAATAATAGTAATACTCTTTAATTTAATCTAATTAGAGTTTTTTTACTTTTAATTACTTATAGATTTCTTTATATCTCTCTAGTAAGCTCTCTAAAGCTTTATTCTAACTAGTTAATCTCTTAATTAAGCCATTAATTAGAGACTATTAATACCTCTATAATATTACTATATCTTTTAATTAGATCTCTTAATTAAGTATTCTATTTAATAAATAAATCAATTCTTAGTTATTACTATTTATATAATAATTACTATTATCTAAATTAAAGTAGTATATTTACTTTCTAGTAATTATAACTAATACCTCTCTCCTAATACTTTCGTATTATAAACGACTTCTATATTAACTATAGTATATATAAATACTATAATAGCCTTCTTAACTTAATATTCCTATATATTTTATATAGCTTCAATTACTATTCTCCTATTATTAAATAGCCTGCTTTTCTATTAATAAGCCTTCTCTTTTTTTATTTATTAAATAGCCTTTCTTAGCTTATTAATAGCTCTCTACTTCTCTCCTATATCTCTTATACTTCCTATACTTCCTATATATCGAATATATATATATATAATATTACTAGAATACTTTAGTTACTAGTATTAGGCTAGATATTCTAGTAGAATTCAGGAATATTAGATAAGGCTATTTTTTGAGCTTTTTAGATAGAAATTATTTCATTTTCTGTTTTTTTAAAAAGTTAGCCTATATATATAAGTAAATTATATATATATATAGTATAGAGAACTATATAGTTCTTTCTTTTTTAAGGACATATATTATATAATAATTATATACTAGTAGTTATATATAGGCCCACGTGACTATACTTATTATATTTAAGCTTTAGCTACTTATATTATATCTTTTTTCTTCTTATTTATTTATATATTATTATTATTATAATATAATACTAATGTTTTATTATAATATATAGATAATTATATTCTAAAAGTAGTTAGTTTTTCTAATTCTTATAAGCCTAAAAATAATTAATTTATATTTCCTATAATAAATTAAAGATTCTAAAATATTTAATTATATTTATATTTATTTACTATATATAAAAAGTACTAGAAAGTAGAAGTTATTATAACTAAATTTAAGCCCTTTATTTTAAATAAGAGATTATTTTTTAAGTAATAATAATAGTAAATATTTATATAAAATAAAAGATATTTCTTAATTACTTTTAAAAGCAAAGAATTATAATCTAATATATAGTAAATTTCTTATTTTTTAGCTTTTATAATTATTAAATCGGGAATTGTTTTAATTAAATTAATAAGAAAAGTACTTTAAAAGAAATTGTTTTTTCTTTTATTAATTTATTAAGCTATAAAAAACATTTCTCTATTAGAATTCCGTTTAATACTAAGCTTTAAAATATATTTAAAATAATTATTAAAATAATAGAAATTAAAAACTATAAATAATATTAATTTAATAAATTATTCTTATATAATATATAGCCTAATAAAGATATAGCCTAATAAAGATATAGCCTAATAAAGATATAGCCTAATAAAGATATAGCCTAATAAATATATAGCCTAATAAAGATATAGCCTAATAAAGATATATAAAAACTTATTCTTTAGTCTAGTTATTATAAGCTCTATAATAAGAGGTTATATAAAATACTTATATAAGAGAGGAACTTCTTTAATATAAAGATATTTAATATAAAAGAAAAATTAAATAAAATCTTTAATAATTATTATAATAAGATAATATTATAATAGTAATAAAGAGCTTGAATTAAGTTAAAGGCTATATACCCGACTAAAATACTGGCTATATACTAAGTTACATATAGTAGTACTATATAACTAGTACTATATAATAGTAATATTAATATATATATAACTAGTTAGTTAATTCTATAGTTTATAAAGTTATTAATCTTTTAATTTAATCTCAAATTATTTCTAAATAATATCTTTTATATTTTTTAAGTTTATATTATATTTTATAATAAGGCTTTTTAGTATTTTATTTATAAAAAGTTATATATTAATTATAAGATTATATAAGAGTTATTATTTATAAAAGCAGATATATTTATTATAAAGTATTAAAATAATAATATATTTTAGTAAAGGTTTTATTACTTTTAAAGATTTTATTTTTATATTTAGTAATAAATATCTATTATTTTATAATAAGCTTAAATTTTATAAAAGAACTAAAGTAATTATATAATATAATAGTAAATATAATAATATAAGTAATAAAAAAGAATTATATAAAATATTAGTATTATTAATAAAATAAAAGTAATAATATTAATAGAAAAGTAAAATAAATAATTTATTTATATTTTTTATATATTAATTATAAGTTATAACTATATTATAGAATTACTAAAATTAGTAGTAAATAATATTAAAAATTAAGTAAATATAATATATAAGATACTTATATTATAATAAATTATAATATATATAATACTTGAATTAAGCCTTAGAATTAAATATAATTAAATATTAAATTAATTAGATTATAATTTAATTAAAATCGCGATTTACTTATTATAAGGTGGCATTTTTAAGGGTATTTAGAGATCCTTTAGAAAAGTAATAGTAATATTTGCTATATTCGCTCTTACTTAGAATTGCAATCTTGCTTTAACTAAATTATAAGGTTTATAGTACTAAATAGACCTATTTTACTATATATATATATATATATTGTATTTGAGAGAATTTTTTTTGGATAATTAATAATATTATTAAAATTAAGACAGGCGATAGCGATATTAATAGCTTCATAATACTGATGGTTTTATTGGCTAGATTAAGGCGGCGGGTGGAGAGGGTATATCAAATTATGCCCCTCACTAGCGCTGGGGCGTACTGCGTCATGCACTGAGATCTGGACGGTGTAGACTTCAAACAGCGTGGCACCTGGGTTGCAAGTGATAAAGCTCCCCAAGTAAGGCTGTCGGGTACCGCACACCCAGCTGATCCAGCCATGATCCCGACACGTCAACGCAACTCCAGCATAAGTACGAAAAATAAATAAGCGGCCTCACCCTATAAATCCCTTCCCTCGTCTTTCCTACTTCCTTTATCTTTGACCAGTCCTCTTCTCTCAAGCTTGCACACTGGTAAGCGTTAACTGCAATTTGTGCTCAGTTCTTCGCAACTGTCCGGGCATCACTCTACCTTCGTACTTCATCTAACATGTTCGTTGCAGACTGCGTTGGAAGACCAAACACCGCCGGTGTGAAAAGAGTCACAGGTAAGCTCCTCGTTGAACAAGTTCGGGCACTTCTAACACTTCTCAGACCAACAGTTGCTGAAAATCTTGCACCGTACTATCCAACGGATCTCGCAATTTCTACCTACTGGCCAGCGACTTGATCAACGAATTTTACTTCCCTCTTCATGTGGCTGACCAACGCCACACTGAGGCGCCTTTGCCTTCAGCGAAATCTTTTCGATTCACCGAACTCGATGATTGCTCTGGCTCGCCAGTGCGCTGCCGACCGCCGGAACGGATCAAGCGGCCGCAACGGCCGCAATTGCCGTCAAAGTAGCCATTTTCGCTCACCGAGTTGTCTCCTCCACCATCCCACACTCTCTATACCGATTGGATATATAGTGAGTTGAAAAATGAGGGCGTGTGCATGAAAGCTCATGCAGAGGGGCGTATACATTTCAAGGCATGCGCGCGGTATGCATAGGGGCGTCTAATGTGCTATCGAGCGACGCCCGGCTTGAGAGAGCTCGAGCCCGAAGATCCCAGTTTAGCACCCAATTTTCCTTCAACTCTTTTGGGTAAGTCATGTCTCTCATGTTAGGCAACCAGAGCCCCTAGTTGTCGTAGTTGGCGATAAGGACCTCCCCTGCGGGAGGGTGATGGCAAGTCGTATTCAGAGTGGTTGGATTCGGCCGGTCATTGTCAGACTTTTACCTAATGGACGTGTGCCAGGTGGTTTCCCTTGCGAGGGCTGGGGATTGGCTATGGAACTACATTGGGAGACTGGATTCAAGGTGCTGTGGCTGTAAGGATTCGACCTCAACTGAGCGAGAAGGGCGACAAAGTCACGGTGACAGGAAACTTGACGGCGGGAGCAGCAACGCCCCTCGAGCTGTTCAAAATTGGTCCCCAATCCCCAAGAAAGCTCGGCAACGAAGACGTTCCGTATGGAATCAGCTGCGATGGACTTTGATATGGACTCTGCAAGATCTCAGCAGGCGGAGCGTTTGGGTACTAGGTTCTACGATATGGCCTCATTATTTTCTCATCGCGGCAAGGCTAGCCTTGTTCTTCACGGATTCTTCGTTCTTCCCGCCTCCCATATTATTAATCCAACTCCTCCTACCCTACAGCCGGAACCAGGTATGGGCAGCTTTGCAGCTCTTGGTCTAGATGAAAACTTGCCTTTCGAAGACCCTGGTGGATCAAGAGCCGTCCTTTCAAACGAGGCTTATGGAACTGGTAGAGATATTGACGTTCCGGTAACAGAATCTACCAAGACTAACAGGTAGAATAAAGATCTCGAGCTTGTACAAGATGCGGCATTAGATGCCAGTTTTGAATTCGATCTCGACTTTCTCTCTCAAATCGAGGCTGGCCCAGGCCAGGGTCGGATGTCCCAAACTCCCTTCACAAATCTCTTCACAAACGACATTCCCTCAGCAAACCCGAACCAAATCTTTAGCAATGATATGCTCGGCCAAGAATACGATTTCCCTCACAGCCTCGAGACACCAAATGCTCTTTCAACCACACCAGAAATGAGTATCTCATCCAACGACTACGATCAACCAGCCCCTCACGATCTCTACAGTCTTAACATTCCTGGCCAGGAAACCGATCTATCAAACAACCTCGAAACGAATTCCTATGAACCATCATCCAGCCAAGAAACGAGTTTCTCCTCCGCCTCCACATCCAACGACTTCTCCCACGACAGCCACAACCCGAGCGAGATCTTCGCCGGCCCAAAACCAAGACGCAGCGAGGAATTCGAAATCAACCACCCAGACAGTGAAGCAACACACCTAACCACCCATCCACCACCATCCATCCAAGAACTTCACACCTCTTCCCCCTCCAACCCCCCCTCTCCATCCTCACCCAGCGGCAGCCACATCTCACCAGACCGCCACCCCTGCCTGCACTGCCCCCGAACCTTCAAGCGACCAGGCGACGTCAAACGGCACGAGAAAGTGCATATTCCCAGCCAGAGACGCTTTCACTGTTGGCAGGTCGGGTGCGAGAGGAGGGGATGGAGGGGCTTTTATCGGAGGGATAAGTTGAGGGATCATGTTAAGACGGTTCACGGTTTATAGTGCATGGGTGGGAAAGGCGTTTTTCTAGAGGATGGAAAGTGGATAGGGTGGAGTTAGAGATGGGATATTTGGTGTTTGTTGTGGGAGAATGGAAGAGCATGCATGAAGGGGTGGAGATGATAGGGGCCAAAATTTATTGAAATCTAATCAAGAATTCAGAATTCAGCCTGCTCCCCTCTTGGACACACATACACGCACACCTATTCGAGTGACTCTAGAAACTCCCAAATACTAGCCTAAAACTGGGGCTGGAGGTCTCCTAGAATATCTCATGAGCACTACCAACTCCTTTTGACGTTCCATGAGAGCAATTTCGTGGGTCTCTTTCCTCGTTAGGTTCAGTCTGGGGAAGCAGAGCTGTACGTCTACCTTGGCGGATCCCGCCAGGCCGCTCCCTCCTCACCATCTTGCGAGAGCTAGAGCAGCGCCGCTCACCCCCGCTCACCCGGCTCTCGCGACTGGCGAGTGCTGGAGTGAGCGGGGTAGGGAGGGCGCCCATTTCTGAACTCCTGAGCAAGGAGCTCGTTATCACTCGAGGAATTTCTACCGATGAGTAAGCATCGTTGCGGGGGTTTTGTCCTCACGTAAGGAATAGAGGACTTTGTTTATGTTTTTGGCAGATATGTATCCCTTGACTTCCTCTGCACAGGAGTCCCTTTTCCCTATCATTGTGTCCTGGGTATAGTCCAACGATCCTGTACAAGAAAATGTCACTCACAAGCCCTAGTAACGCCGCCCATTCTTATCCCATTCCCATATCCCACCACAACGCCGCCCGTTGACTCCTAAACAACAACAAAATATATGCAATCACCATCGCAATTACAAATACAACTTCCTCCCATCAACCCCCCTCGTTTTCGCCTCATCACCTAACGCATACCGTCCAACCGTAAGCGCGACACCTGTCCCAATACTCCACCCACCATCCACATCGCCCACGTCGCCGAGCCGCACCCGCCATTCAGAACACATCCTGCTCCGCTGCAACCCATCTAACCCTACCCCTCCATCGGGGAACTCCACGTATTGACTTTCTCTCGCAAGAGACGAGACGTAGCCGAGATAATCTCTCGATAGCGTCACACGAGAGAGGATCATAGAGATGAGGGCCGAGAGAGGGATGACGAGGGAGGCGAGGAGAAAGAGAGCGAGGAACGGGATCGAGACGCTGTAGTGGTCCGGACCGGGGATGGTGGAGTTTGTGAGGAGTGTGAAGGATGGCGAGAGGGCTTTTATTTGGGCGGACATCGAGGATGGAGTTGTTGCTAGCTGTTGCTGTGGTAGACTATGCGCCTCTCCAGTTAAATATGTAGTGGAGTTCAATTGAGCACCGTGTAAAAACGCGTTAATCAGGGATCCTAGACGGTCACCGAAATCCTGGAGCGAGATATTTTGGAGTCGAGACTCGGTTGGTGGAGAAGTGAAGGAAGGCCAGGGTGTAGACTGGATGTAAGAATTCGAGAGAGGTTGCACGAGGTAGTTTTGGAGGAGATCGATGTGGTTTAATTGTTGTGTTGAGCGCGGGAGGAGAGAACTCAATCCGTTGAAGACTTGAGGATAGGTCATCAAGGTCAATGTGTTCGGCATGTGTGGGAGGAGCGAGAGGCGTTGTGCTGTGACGCCGCAGGATTGTGGTGCACCGGGAGAGGACTGCGTGCAGGTAATTTCGGACTCGATGTATGTTTGCGACGGGACACAGTAGATTGAGGTTACGTTTTGCGACCCGGTGAAGTCTTGGTAGAGAAGGAGACCGGGGAGGAAGGTCCCAGATTCGGTTTGGTTGGAGAGACTGTCGAGACTTTGGATGGTGATATTGTTTGTGAGGGCAGTGATGTTGTCGCCAAGGTAGCCTATCGTCCATAGAGTCTGGAAAGTGACGTTCTGCGCAGATACGAAAGGCCCGTTTGTGGAAATTAATCCGGGATTTGAGAAGAAATTCAGGCTCCTGGTCCTGCTTGTAGTTCTGTTCGAACAAGATAACTCCACAAATGTAGATTGGACGTTGAACGTGGCGTTCCCTGTTGGAACTCCGGATATCGGAATGCCAAAAATCGATGAATATGAAGGCGTATAGTTGGTTTGTGGGGTTTGCTTCCAGCCGTTCGAGTCTTCCGTGACGTTTGCGAGACCCGAAAAGTATGGAATCTTGAGATTCCCCCACAGATCAATTGGGCCTGCCTTCACTGCCGTCGGAGCGAGTAAGGAGGCTGTAAAGATGCCCGCAAATCCTGGATACCAGGAGTCGAAAGCTGGCAATCCCGCATAGACCTGTTGCCGAGAATTGAGATAATTCACGGCCGCGTTGGAGACGGTTCGTGTTGACGTGGTTGACAATATTCGCAGAACCGCTTGACCGCCAACAGGTGATAACAACCACAGCAATATCAGACCAAGACCAACAAGACTGAAGTGCCATAATCTGACTTGCGTGATAATGGTACCGCCAACTGTTTTGCTTCCCATTAATCGTTCCAGAGATCCGACTGTTGACCCGCGCTCGACTTTCCATGATGCGAATTTGACCATTAATCTGCCCACAACAACGGAGAAAACGAGAGGGAATAATGTAGCAGCCTTCACCTAATCAGCATACATAGACGATTGGGGGCTTTTCGTACTCACGCCTTTTATACATTGATTCAAGACGTTTTCTTGGTGTCTTTTCACTGGCTTCCCGTCTAGGCGTATGATAGCGCCAGCAAGCGCGAAGAATGGCAGCCCCACAGCTATCGCAAGAACATCTACCAAGAAATCTCTCCATTTTTGCCTTCTCGTTCTGTTCAGACTTCCAGCTACACCCTCCCAATTCGGTGATTCTCTTCCCTCTTGACCATCTTCTTCTGGCTGATCATATCGAAATTTTCTTGTCGTTGAATACTGAAATAGATTCTTCGAGGTAGGTGGTAATAAATTCTGAGATTCTGACTTCCCTCTCCGGTGTCCAGGAGTCGAAGGAGGACTTGGACTTTCAGCACCTGGAGGCGATGGTCTTCGAGATAGCGGTGCTGGGATTGTCCGCGTACTTACCGGCGAGGACACACTCGCCGTCGCACTCTGGATCTCTATTATCGGAATATCGTCCATTATCGGTATCTCGTCCAAAATGGGGGGTCTGTCATTGTCGAAGGTCCTGTTAACAGCTCCATCACGTGATCCACCCCGCAATTCCATGCTCTCTTTGCGACAGCGAGGCCTTCCACGGCGGCCACATATAAGAGCAAAATGATCGTCTACTGATAGCAGGGTGCATGATGGATGGGTAAATGCGCTTCAGGCTTATATATCAAACTCCCAACTTTCTGCAGATGTTTGACAACACACGCTCATGTTGGAAGGATTTTGAGCTAGAGACGGCTGGAGCTGAAAATAGACAGCGGGTGCCCAGGGGGTTCGTCTGTGCGGGCGCCGGGCGGACGAGCGCCCTTGTCTACGCGCCGTTCGCATGAAAGCTCACGCTCAGCCTCGCCATCATGCCTCCCGCACCCTCCACACCGCGACCCCAGCGCACTTGCGGATTCGACGCCGTTGGCAGCTTGACGCCGTGGATTGGAGGTCGTGGAAGACAGAGCTGCAATTGACGAATAGAACATGCCGGCCAGAGAGGCTATCTCGAAGCTTGCGAATGCAACGAAAACCGTCTCACCGCTGACTCCACGGCAACCTCAGACACTTGACATAAGGTGAGACTTGGAATTTGGGCTGTGAAGTTGTGAACGAGACCACGATCTGCAATTTGGAGACTGTGATGCGGCTTCACTTGCCCAGCAAATGGTGACGGTGAATTTGGATGAAGTACTGATGCGTTGGACCTGATGGTGTTGTGACTGAAGCAGTTCGCGATTCATCGCCTTATTGGCTAGCAGGAGCCTTGTCACCAGGCGGACAATGCAGCACGAGATTAGTGCAGGGCCTTCGTACCAGAAAACTGTCAGCCCGCTGTTTCCTGAGGCCTTTCTCCGGAAAATAGAAATAAGTTTTATCGCGAATGGTGGAGGCCTATGATCGCCGCAGCGATTGGAGAGAGCTGCCCTGGACCAGGCTTCTCGATAGTCCTTTGCGGACATAGAGACCGAGCGGTCCTATCCATTTTCCAGTTCGGTTTACGATGAAGGTGTTTTTTGGTATGCTTCTCTCCATCGCGAAGTGATGTGCGTCCCGTCATCATGCAGTAATGCAAACATTGTCACCGGCGACCTCTTCTCGTCTTTCTCCTTGCTGCCGGAGCTTATCAATGAGGTGAGCATGGAAGGTTCCATCTGACAACCACAGGGTTTCGGTGGCTGTTGGGCCTCGAAGAGGATCGACAGGCTGAGTAAAGAATCTGACCTAAATCCCACGATTCGGGACTCATAGCCCCCACGGAAGCCCGACTGCGCTCCGAGATGGCAGCCTCTCCGCACTGCCTGCTGTTTCACGCCATCCCCTGTAAAGTGTAAAAAGGTATGCTAGTGTTTAGATGATGACAACATAATCTTATCTTCCCCGCCGCACTCGGGCATCGGCAATAATAACCTTAAAGTCCGAACGTCACAACATTTGCAAAGAAAGAAACCGAGAAATCGTGAGGAATAATGACACAATGACGAATAAGAGCGATGAAAGCAAATGACCCCAGTTCTAACTGCTTGTAAATGACTAATCAACAAAAATTTGAAATACAACCCAAGGATTAAAGTGCAAAACAATCCATATCCGTGGTGCACTCGACCCAACCAGCACCGCCCCGGCAGCTTGCCGCAGGGCCTAAAGTATAAGCTGGCATTTGCGAGGACGAAGGCACGGTTCTCATCATCCCGGAGCACTTGTTGACAAATGGCAATGAGAATGAACTTCGGCTTCGAGAATGATAATCAGGGAAAATCGACAAAGGTTCACCGCAGCTGCGATGACAATACATGTCCCCTCGCGAGAGTGTTCCAGCTCATTGCTAAGAGAGCATGGTGAGAAACATCGCGGCTTGAACTGTCCGATCAAGACTAACCTCAGCAATTGCGACCGACCCACAATCCCATCCGCGACCCTGGACTCTAAACCCGACGCGCAGCTCCAGCCCCCCCAATGCTCAACTACCGAGCCTTAGACTGGCAATTAGGAAATAACACGGTTCAGCGAGTTCGGCGACACAAGAACTCGAGCTGGAGGAGCAGCATGAGGGGTCTTGGTGGCTGAAACGCTGATCTCTAGCCCCACTACGGAGCTCGATTCACAGCCTGGAAAGACCTGACGAGAACTGCTTGGTGATAAGGTCGCGTGGAATTCACACTTTCGTGATCTTCCCGATGATTTTGGGAGGGGGTGAGATGTTGTTGATGGAAGCAGGAAAGAAAGATTGGACAAGATTGGACTCTGACTAAGCTACAGTTGTCCTCTTCACGTGATCGTCCTCCTCACTTCAAGTCTTCAACGTCTTTGAAATACCCACCGAGTCATTGAGTTCCAGCTAATAAACCCCGGTATCCAAGTTAATAGCTTCAACCTTTTTCACTATCAGAAAAGCAGTGTCTATCTATAGTTGGACATGAATCACTTTCCACACTCCTCCCCACACCCCAAACCTCCAACCCATTCAATCACGTTGGCAACCTCTTTCTTACACTATGGCACGAAATTATTCAAAATGTAGTTCAAAGTCTATACGCTTTGATAGGGTAACCATAAGTCTATACATATTCTCTTTCTTCTCCACACTCCTTCTCCTTCAATCAAGTCCTCAAACCCCAGCTTCCTGGTAGACAGCAACTGGTTCTGCACCAGATGTGGAAGGATGGGTTTCTATGATTACGTCAATGATTCGTACTGCGGTGCACCCATACCGCCCGAGCCGCTGTACTTTTATTAGTGTGCTTAGAGTGCTATTATGGGTAGCTTTTGATAGAAGAGACCTGCGGTACATGGCGTGGAGTCAACTTGCTCGGTGGTGGGGGAAGAGCGGTCGCTCCACGTGGTGGAATATATAGAGACGAAGGGAAACAGGGTTGAGACGAAGAGTAGTAGCGTAGAAGACAATATATAACACGATGCGCTGAAGAAGTGTGTGGTTTCTCAGCCCATTCCTTCCTTCCATGGTATCAAGCATTCGGCCCTCGCACAACCCTTGTCTGCAAGCTTGAGAGCACCTGAGGCGTATCAAGCTTGATGAAGTCAAGATCATTCATTACAAGCGTATATACTCCTCCTCAACCCCACCCATTACGGCAAGCCCAAAAACAACTCCAACAGCCTCGGAAAACTCGGCGTTCCCAAGCCCGTAACTGGATCCCAGCCACTCACCGCAGCGAACCCCTTACTCCCACACCCCGGATTACTCCCATTCTTAATATCATTCAGCGCCCAGGAATTCGCATACAACACCGGATTAACAAATCCCACCGGGCCCTTGCCCCTAACCGTTCTCTCCTCATTAATAAGCGTGATCACGCTCCCCCAAATGGGCGCCGACAGCGACGTGCCGAACCAATGCCCCAACGAGCCTCCTACGAATGCGAGCAGTTCTGCGCCATTGGCGGACACGTCGGGGAAGCCGCGGCCGGCACGGTTGTAGAAGCCGCCGTTGGCGCCGATGTTCGTTGCTTGGTCATTGGCATAGTAGTATGGTAGACCTGGCTCGTGGGAGCTGAAGTAGTTTGATACGGCGGACTTTTGGTAGTCGGGAACGGGGAAGTAGTTTGCGAAGCCGCCGGCGGAAGCGAAGAGTTCGAAGCCCACGCCGAGATTGGCTTGCATAGCAGATTCAGGGTCGTTGACTGTTTGGTAATCGTAGAGACGTGTAGCTCCAACGTTGAGTACCCAAGGACAGGTCGGGAAGGACGGGTTGTAGACTTGGGAGGCATTGCCTAAGCACCCATTTGCGGAGTCGTCGCCGGGGAAAGAAGCGACGCCGTAATCGCCGGAGGCCCATACGAATGTGTGGCCTTGTAGGCCGAGCTTGAGGAATTCGTTGCATTGGCGGCGGGTGTAGTTTACTGGGGCATCGTACTCCGAGACACCGTAGGAGACGCTGATTACGCGGGCAGGCTTGTAGGTTCCGCAGGCGAGGGGTCCTTTGTATCCTCCATCTGCTGGGTCGGGGTAGGTGGCGTCGATGCCTGGGGAGTCGCCTGTTATCCCGTATGCTGTGTACGTGCAGTAAGAACCGTCGAGAGCGTCGAGAAAAGTGTTGAAGCCACCGTCCGTGAAGGCTTCAACGAAATCGTCGACTTGATACAAGGTGATATTTTGTGGCTTTAATTGTCAGCTTCGGGGCAGAAGTCATGGGAAGGACTGAACTTACATAAATCAGAGAGAATGCAAGATCCATGTCTATATCTGACTCTCCAGTAACATACTCACTTGTCACAGGCTCTGGTGCCACTCCCCCGTCAATCGAGTCCAGCTTCGGATGAGTGCCTTGTGGGACATTCCGTGCATAAGCGGCGAAAAACAAGTCCAGATCTTCCTGTGAATACACATCGCCACTCTCATACAAACCCATCTGGTTGACATCGCCCTTCAGGTAAGCATTTGGGATTTGATAAAGCGCCTTGATGCAAACTGGAGTGATGTTTACACCACAATTTTGGAGGTTTGGTGGGAGTTTTCCAGCTCCAGGTGGCATCGACCAGGAGGGGTGGGGATTCCAAGGTGCTTTTTTAGGCCCGAGGTGATTGTGGGCAGATCTCTTAACTTCAGATCTTTTGACTTCAGTCTTTCTCAACGAGGCTGAATGTTTGACACCGGGCAGGATGTAATCAACGTGATCTCGAATATGAGACGGTAGGGAGTATCTGCAAATAATTAGCAAAGCCTAGAGGTTTTCTACAAGGCGCAACCTACTCGTCACAACCAACTCTGAGCTGTCCCGAAGTTGAATGGACGTGTTCGTGGTATACGGTTTGGAAAAGATCCTCGGCCTGCCGCGCAGGGATGTCAAAAGCAAGCCACCCTTTATCCTCAGAATTGACGATGGCATCATCTTCGATGCCGGAGGCAACCAACCAATCGCGCACAGCTTGAACTGATTTCTCAGATGGGGCGAACATCTCGTGAACCTGTTCCTGAGTCCAATGCTTGCCAAAGTTTGGAGAGGATGGGTAAGAACTGTGAAGTGTTAGGGTATTGTCTCGGAGCTGCACAATCCTACTAGAAGGGAGAAACTGAGGATCAAACTTACACGTCCATGAGATGGATCTCTGCATCTTCCAGACTATTCTGAGCCAACCCAATGCGAATTGGCAAGATAGCTTCCCCATCGACGCGCTCGCCTCGATTCCAGCGCCTTGGGGACGAAGCTCGCTTTTCATGGACCGCATAACTTGCAGGAGTTGGAGCTGCACCACAATTGTTGAGCAAAGCAACAAAAACCGCGGATAAGAATATAGACTTCATCTTGAAGCAGGCCGGAGAGAGAGTTGAAGGAGATGAAAAAGCGCAGCCAACCTTGGAGAGCTTTTTTTCTGGGGCATTTGTCTTTTTGTCTGCGGTGAAGACCTCACTGCAGAGCTGTCATAGCGGGGCAGTCCGCTGCGTGCGGAGACAAATGGCAAGCCCAGGCTCATGAGCAGGATACCATTCACAGCGAGGCCAGGGTAGCAACTGCCAGAAGAAGACAAGCTTTGGGAGGAAGGCCCGTAATTGGCAGGCAAAGTATCTCAGTACGGAGCACCACAATGCTTATCAGATACGGAGCGATGATGAAAGGGTAGGGCCAACCCCTGGAAAGGTGGGGATCGGCAATGGTAATATTAATGAGAAGACAAGGTTTGGGAAGCTCTGTCCACTGCAGATAATTATTCAAATTGAAAAACTTTAAAAAGAATACCCTTCTTTCAACTCCATCCCGAAAGGTCTTGCAACAAGCTTGATGTTTGTTCAAGTATTCTATGTGCAATTGCAACTGTGAGAGTAGTATTCCTTGCAAGGACCTGCACGCACGATCGGGCATGTGGCCTTGTCAACGTCCGATAGACGTCGGAGCAACACCGTAATAGGCAGCCTGTAAGGCACAACCCTGCACCAGTGGAAAGCTCCAAATCTGGTAATGTCTGTCACCACCAACCTGCCGATGGCATTTCAATTCGTCGTTTAAGAATAATAGCGCATCACCAAGGTCCAATCGCATTCGGGCTTTAGGCGGAGATGGGGGTTGCGCTGGATGCCCTTGACTTCCAAACCGGATAGCACGAAATCAAACGAAATATTTTGCCCAGAATTGATGAAACGGGAATTTCGCTGTGCAGAAACTCCCTGTTGAAAATTGAAAATCAGTACGTTCCAACCATAAAAATGTGTTCACGACTGCGTGTTCCCTTGGGATCTTACGCTGGATCACAATCAGCACAACGAAAAACAAAGTTTCATCACCAGACTCAGGCAAAATTTCGCCATTCATCATCCCATGCAGATAGCATTCCCCAACCAAGGCATGCTTCTCTTTCCCAACATCACGAAGCAAACATGGTGTCGTTCCGCTGTAGATAAGACACACCTTGTCTCCAAGCTCAGTATATGGTGGGACCAAGCCAATGTACCCCTTAGACGTGACGCAAAATTTTCGATCGAATGCTTGCAATGCCGAATAGAACTGTGCAGCTTTCGGACTAAATGTCGCGAGGTCACGGATCGTTGCTGAAGAGGCAACATCGGGGATCCACTGGGACATAGCCGCATTGCTTTCATCCCGGCCGTTGTTGAGCCCTTCGAGGAACTTCTTGGTTGGTATATCTGGGGGTTCACCCGGAGACTCTGGGCTTTCTCTGATACTCTCCTCCCTTCCTGTCGCATACGACACAAGTTTGCAGTAAAATTTGGGTAGCGTCCGAATAAATTCCTCATATTCATCAAGCGCAGGGCAGATTTGCATGACCCTATCACTCAAGAATGTTCTCCAGAATGCTTCTTGAATTGGCTGTCCATTGATATAGGTGTCTCCCAACTCTTTCAAACTTTCGTCGGCCTCGTCTAAAAATCGAACAATGTCAGAGAAACCTTCTATAAATGTGATAGATTTTTGATAGCTGAAGGTCTCATTGTCGCTGAGAGCTGAGACATAGGCGTGGATACTGGATGTATCAAACAACCTCCCTATGGAACAATAGTATCAATCTCACTTCCCTTCACATTGACAATGGGCCCAAGTGTAGCCGTATTTGGAGCGCGTTTGTCTGAAGCTGCACGATAAGCCTGCTCCCGCATATCTAAAGGAGAAAAATGTCTCTCCAATTGTTAAGAGATGTCGTGCCACTTCAGTGTAAACTGCTACTACCAGTTTCGTATAATCTGGTACCAGGAATTGCGTTGATCCATTGTTGGAGAAAGCCAGCAGTGCATGTACCTTGTCTGTTTGGTCCGTGGCTTGAGATTTGACTGTGGACCCTAGTACCTTACTCCGTAGACAATGTCAGATACGTTTCGAATGCCAAAGATCATTTCAGATGATGCATAAGCTGGGCCGATTCAAGTCCGTCAAGAGTGTGATGGCCATAGTCTTTTCGGGCTTGCGCCATAGTGGATATGCCCTCGTTGTCGAGAAATACCATCACAGCCTGGCCCAGTTTATCCCAGTGGAACTGATGTTGTCCATAGCGGACAATTACCGCTGTTGAGTTCACAACTTCTTGAATGACCCAGACTCGGTTAAACCAAGGATTGCTGAGGAGCTTCAACAAGGCCGCCAATTTGGGTTGGTTGCAAAGTTCTGAATACTTCTGGAACAACTCTCTTCGGCAGCGAGGGAAAAAGTTCTCTATCACACTCTTCCCGAAATCCATTCTCGAATTAAACTCGGCAGCCCTGGCAGGCCATTCAGTGACGTGCGCACTTCTTCTAACATGGGTTTACCCCGATATCCGCTGGTGTCCTTTTTGGGCAAGTCCTTATGTTCTTCCAGGTACTCCGAACGAGTGACACCGGCCAAGGCAGTGCCTATGGTGATATCGACGTCGTCAATCACCTCCATCGCAATCCCGGAATCTGCAGAATCGCCAAGCCAAACTACAACAGATATGCCCATGAAAAGATCGGCTTCATCATGCCTACTTTGTCTGTTCTTTTCTTCGAGGTCGACTTGATTGATACAAACAGCATCCACCCAGATCAAGATAGGTTCTGCCTTCCACGTACCCACATCAAACAACATTTTGTACACCTTGCGGGATGTGAGAAGCCGCCGTACACTAATCCAGATCGAATGAGTGTTGTTTGCACCCTTGCCCCACGTGTAGGACAGACATAAGGCTGGATCTCCTTGAGTGAAAAATGATGAAAGTTGCAATTGACCGAGGTGGGGTTTGCTTGGCTTCGCGGCATCAATTCAAGAAGACGTATTTTGTTGACCGTATTAGTGGCAGGTATTGACACGGACCACAGTGTAATAGAACCATCCGTCAGCTGGGTGTGTACGATTGTTGCTTCTAGCGGGTCTCGTTTTGAGCTGCTAAGGATTTTGAAGTACTCTGGCTTCATGTTCCCTAGTAGCCATTGCCCCCGGAAGGTGCCTGCCAGGAAGAAAGTCAAGCCCGTAAGAAGATATCCTGCTGGAGAGTTGATGTGAATTTCGACAAGCTCGAACAGAGCTTTGCTACCCTGGTAAAGTTGGCGTAACAATCTACCTGCACCCAGATGCAACCGCGACTGTTGAAGGAAGGACTGTGCCATTTGGTCCACGATTTGTCTAAATCAAAAGGAAGAGATATGTGCTGCTCGAGTGGTCGGAGTATCGAAAGCTGGTCGTGAGCGGCGATGACTCGATGAGATCATTTTGATGGGTCTGGGGATGGCTGGGAGGCACTGGGCGATGCCATGGACAGAGTGTTGAAGGAGGAAGCTTCTGGCAGATCTGTTCAAGGTGTCAGTGAATGTTCAAAAGAAGTCCAGTGGCCCAAACCCTCCACGCCGTCCCTCACGCGCTTCAAGTCGCATCGACAGCTGGGATATCTTGGGCCTCTCGGATCGGTGAGAGTTGCCGCGCACGAGAAGCGTACATTCTTCGAAAAGGGAGTCGGGACAGGCTCAAGGCTACGAGGAAGCACTGAAGTGTCACGCCTCCAAAACACGAGAGACACAAGGCTGATCGATGGACGTGCGAGCCAATCAGCACATTGTTCACTGTAGGCAAACTTTCCTGCTCTAAATAATCGTTCGGCAATTCTCACCTGATTTCTCGCTTAGTACGCTGACAGCCGAACGATTAACCACAAATACCCAAAATCACAGTGGAGGTTATTCCTTAACAAGATCATTGATGCATTAAATTCTCCTATTAAGTCGTTTCTTGACTTCAAGTGTCAGAGGAGGGACCGTCCAAGCCTCTTCACCACCTGTTCTTTTACAGCTTCGTCCAACTAATCCCCCAAGGTTGTAAACTTTGGACATCATGCCTCCTTGTCCTTCCTTCTCTGTCCCGACCCTTGCAATATAGGATCTCTTCTTTTCACGCGCCACTCTGCTTCTAATTCCAACAGTGGCTCATGAGGAACCTCCTCTTCAAGGTTATTCTTCCCCCTTCCATTGCGTCCTGACTCATGCTCATAGCTCAGGTCCGCAAGGAGTTTCGCGCAACTCGGAGAGTTATCCAAGGTCGTTCTTGTTCAAGGCAATGTTATTCTCCGTTCTCAAACCTTCTCACTCCCCTTGTCTCCCTCGCCCTCACTAACGCAGAACTCCGTCTTCTTCTGAATCCCCGGCACAAGTTCAATCTCACTATTGCTACTCCGATTCGTCATCGTCCTCTCCCGCTTCCCATTATACTCCACAATCGTATTCGTCCTGCTCACATAATCTCCCCTCAACCTACTACACGAGAACCGAGGCGAAAGGGCTTCTGAGTTCGGCGTGTATTGCGAGCTGATCGGACGGTTGTGATTGGGTGCGAAAAAGAAGAGGTAGACGGCGCGTGAGAGGGTAAGGTTGGCGGCTATGATGCCGAGGAAGAGTTCGATGTGACTCTAGATGGCCGCGATGTAGTACATCTAGGAGAGATCGGTGGTTTGGATTCCGAGGGAGGCTGCTCGCGCGATGCCGAAGCCGGTGGCGCTGGTTTGTATTAGACCAAAGTTCGGGAAGGGGAAGGAAGGATGGGAAGAACAACACAAGACCTGGACTCATGAGACCACAAACACATATTTTAGTCCGTAGTGGAATCTTGACTTTCCAAACAACAAACAGGGGAACGAGGGAGAGAACCAGATCAGTCACGACAGGATATGCCGCTCGGCGTTAGCTTCAGTCAGGATAACGGTAAGGGGAACATACCAATCGTAGCATAAATAGAAGAAATCCGTATCTTATTCGGCCAGCACGCTGCTGATGACCCCCTCGGATGCATTTCCGCCAACAAAATAATCACCCATCCGAAATCCGTTATCAATACTCCCGCCATAACTTTGCAAACCACCATCCTCAACGCCCTCGTATCTTTGATCCTCAATATCAAAAGACAAATTGAGACTTCCAGGAAGGCAACTGCAGAAAAGAGAAGAATCTGCGCTGCCCAGCCGTATTTACTGATCGTCTGGTAATTGTGCGGAGTTAGGGAGATTCTGTGTTTTTCATTCCCGCACTTGGGTTGCTCGATTTTGAAAACCGAGGCTTATGGCGGCGAGGGCGGCGGCTACGAGGATCGTAGCGTCGTCCCATCCGACGATACGATTCTTCATTCGGACGAAGATGCGGAGAGCGGTAATGATGATGATGAAGGTCATCAGGACGCCGGATACCCACATCAGAATGGGACCGGCGTCGTTTTCGGGAGGGAGGTCATTGACGTTCATCATGGGGATTGTGACCGCGGAGTAGTTAGACACGAATGTCGTCGAATTATGCTCTCATGCTATTGTGGATGTTGTGGATGCGACGTAGGGCTGAAGGTAATAGTACCATTAACGTCCTATATAAGGTTCAGGAGGCAGGGCACTAGCGATGTTACGGGGTTAGAGACAACGTGCCTATAACCTAGCCGCTAACAGAACGAAGTAGCATTGAAGCTTAAAATGTGGACATCGGGAAGCTTGAAAAATGAGAACCTGGATCTTCCTTTCATAAGTAGACAAGATGGTAAATAGCTGGGCGACCGAGTCGACACGGACCTCGCGTTCCACCTAAACTTGACAGCTCCTTACATAGGTGCGTGTATGGTTTTCTCGGAAGTTTAAAGATCATTGCATATGCTATAGATCAGTTTAAACTGTTGACTTAGAGACTCCAATGAGATGTATCAAACTCATCCGGGGAGCTCGTTTATTTTTTCTCCTGGCGTGGCGTGCAGCGGCATGTCATTTTGAACAGTGACTTGGCTTCCCGTCGAGCCCGCTTCAGGTAAAAGGACTCCCGTGTCTTGGAGTTTCGAAAGCCACGAATCCAATTGCCAGAGGAGCAAAACAGGAACACAGCGCTATAAATGATTCAATACTAGATATGCAAAACAGAGCCATTATAAAAGAGGAAGGACACAAATTTGAAATGCGTCGTGGTAAAAGAGAGTCGGTACTTGCAAGATGAGAATCCAGCACTGACACACAGACTCTAGATGAGCGGCATCCAGGATTCCGGATAAGCGGGGCTACAACGGCGAAACATCTTCTCAATCTGCCCAGTACCCCTTGTACTAAAGATGCAGATGGCCCCATGGAAAATTTGGCGGCCCATCATTTAGCCTCAATGGAAGAATGGAGGGAGTGCTGCGATTGGGTCTGCATCTTTGCGGGCAGGTACCTCCGTATTTGAAAGAATTTTCACCAGGTTGTGCAGACGATCTCAGGAGTGGAGGTCGGGAATGAAAAATCAGGAGGAGCATTCTGATACTGTCTTGACTGTAGGGTGGAAGGAGTCGCTCGAACCTCCTTTGCCGGGGCGGGACTTCGCCTGCACTCGCTTGGAAAACAGCATCTTCTAAGAGATGCAGTACTAGTACTTATCGGATTATAAGAACGAGATCGGGAGCGGCCCGAAATAGCCTTTTCTGTGCCAAGCAAAGGATGCGGCTGTTCAGTCTTGATTGGGAGGGTTTTATCCCCATTTCATGGCAACGAACCGCAGCTTACATTCGAAACAATTCTCCTCGCTTGAAAGAAAGAAAGCTTTCTCAGTCACAGTTTCTTCCAAACAGGATCTTCATTTCGGGGAGACTTGCCCAAACCGCGTGTTCATTGAAAGAAGAATTTCCGGGAAGCGTCCACTTGTATGCAGGTCAGCATCGGTACCAATTCATGGCATTCGGGGATCGTTCCCTACAGGCTGACCTGTAATACCAAGCCGGACTTACCCAAAAACGTTTCCAGCCGTCCATGCATCGACGGAGAACAGAACGCTTTCGTTCAGTATTTTGACCCTGAGAATTCCAAATGCAGGCACAGATTGATAATTTTGGAAAATGGGACTACTGTTGGTTCGGACAATAAAGTCTGAATACCCCGCATCTCCGCCTCCGCAGCGGATCAATCTAAAGAAATCTACAGTTTAGATTGCGTTTCGTCTGGTACCTGAGAGTCTTTCCTTAGGTATTTGCACTAGAAATTCCGTCATCAGTTGAAAAGTTGTTTGGGTGAAGGGAAGGATAGACAGCGGGCTGTGACAGACTGTCATTGCCACCGAACAGAAGGGCTATGAACTTCATCGTGAAGGCAATTCTCCTCGGGGCATCAACCCATGCTACTCGAACTGGAACGGCGCTGACGAGGGATTCTGCTTCTCTCGGGAATGGGTACGATTATGTAAGTAACCTTCCGATCAGTTCTTCTGCCTCAATGAAGGATTGGATCGTCGCATTAAATATCAGTTGACAAGCCATTCCATACAGATAATTGTCGGAGGAGGTACCGCTGGCGTTGCTCTCGCGACCAGGCTGAGCCAGGGTTTACATCACTCTAACATTCTCCTGATCGAGGCAGGACCAGCGGCTTTCGATGAGCTTGGGATCAATGTACCTGGGAAGAAAGGCTCGACGCTTGCGACCAAGTATGATTGGAATTTCACCACTATCCCCCAGCCAGCACTCAAGAACAGAGTCCTGTCACAGAGCAGAGGAAAAGTCCTCGGCGGGTCCTCAGCCCTCAACCTCATGACCTATGACAGGTCATCAGCAACCGAGTATGACGGTTGGGAAGAGGTTGGAAATCCCGGCTGGGGCTTTGATACCTTCGAAGGAATGATGAACAGAGCAGAAAACTTTACCAGTTTCAACACCAAATGGTATGGCAACGATGAAGATGGAATAAATTTCGATGGCCCAGTGAGAGGTACGATCAATCGCTTCATCCCGGCGCACCAGAAACCATGGGTTCCGACTTTGAACAGCCTCGGTATCAAAACAAATAAAGCGTATATGGGTGGCAATCCTCTCGGAGTTATGTACTCACCAAGTAGCATCGACCCAACCCACTACAACAGGTCCTACAGCGCGAATGCCTATATCCCGCTCGCCGGCCGGAACCTCGCGATCATGACTGGTACTACGGTAGCAAAAATCAACTTGAAGCGAGACTCCCACGGCTACTATGCCAGTGGAGTGATGCTGACAAATGGGACTGTGATCAATGCCAATCTGGAAGTCATCCTTTCTGCTGGTTCGTTTCTGAGTCCTGGTCTCCTTGAAATGTCTGGTATCGGGAACAAGACGATCCTTGCGGCTGCAAATATCAAGCAACTAATCGACCTCCCTGGAGTTGGCGAGAATCTTCAAGACCATATACGCATTCAGACCTCGTATCAAGTCAAGCCAAACTTCACATCATTTGACATTCTTCGATACAACACCACTTACGCGGCCGAACAGCTACAGCTCTGGATCGACGGCACGTACTCAATATATGACTACACTGGCAGTGCATACTCATTCATGACGTGGAAACAAGCAATTGGTAACGACTCGACACTTCGAGCTCTAGCCAAGGCTGCGCTGGGGTCTTCGAAGCATGCCGCTGATACGAAGAAACTGGAGTGGCTGTCTGACCAAAGCATCCCTCAACTCGAGATCATCATGAGCGATGGGTATACAGGAGTCAAAGGATACCCCGCAGTTGGAACGCCATTGTACGGGAAGGGGTTCTTCTCTCTTCTCGCTGCCGTTATGCACCCCCTGAGTCGTGGCACAGTCCACATTAACGTCACGAATCCACTTGGAAAACCCATTATCGATCCCAACTATCTCAGTAACGACTATGACCTTCAAGCCGCCATCTCTGCGACCAAAAAGTGTCGGCAAATCGCAACCACGGCACCATTGAGTGGCGTGTGGGATTCCGAGTACGAGCCTGGGCTGGACAAGGTAAATACCGACGCAGAATGGAAGGATTTCGTTCTCAGCACCACTCTCACCATTTATCATCCGGTCGGAACCTGTGCTATGCTTCCAAAAAAAGACGGAGGTGTAGTTGACCCGAAGTTGGTGGTGTATGGAACGAGGAATCTCAGAGTCGTCGACGCCAGCATCATGCCCGTGCTCATCTCTGCGCATCTGCAGACTGCAGTGTATGGCATCGCGGAGATAGCGGCGGACATTATTATCGGGAATTCATAGAGATTTTGTTCTCTGAAATGCGCCATCGGGGCCCAGTTATGCTGGCGATGGGGGTATCGAGGCTGTAATTGGGCTCAAGGAGTCCCTTTTCTCACGCCACTTTGAGGACGAGCTTGGATGGGCGAAAAGCGTGAAGTCGCTCGTCTCGGGGCTGGCTTTAAATATAATGAGTACTATTCAGTATTGTAAATATTTTCAAAGAAGGGTTTGATGGAAAAGTGGTTGTGGGGGAGATATAGAAGGGAGAGAGGGACGAACGAGAATCGAAAGAATTTCGTCAAGTCATGGCGTATCACGTGATACGCCTGTGAGATTCATGTGGCGTGACCTCCACATTGTCTCATCTGGTCTTCATCACTTCTTCTCATTCGCAGCATGAGCTAACAACCCATCATGAGTTGAACGTACCTGGGCATTCAAATCTCGAGATTGAATATCTTCGTTTCACGAGTCTCGTCAGCTCCCCCACAACTTCATCTTGCCGACAATTCTTCAAGCTCAAACCCCCGGGAAACTTAGCTCGTTCTCCTCCCTGTGACTTGGATTCTTCCACTTCACCAGAAAGACCCCAAGATGGCTGGTACTCGCTCGCTCCAACAAATGGCGGAAGGTCGTCTCATCGGGCAGCTCACAGACGCAGCAACTGGATATCAAGCATCTGCCAATTTCTCCTGCGGCGGATCCTTTCCCATTGATATCCGCAGCATGACTGGCCATGGAGACTTCACAAGTACGAAGACTCCAATCATGTCCCCTCCTGTCATCACCCGTTGGGATGCTCCAAGCGGTGAGGTATCTGGTAGGATCATGTTTCCGGTTCCCGAGGGAAAGCATGAAGTCCTCGAAGAACTTGTTAAGGATTGCCAACTTGCAACGTTTGGCTACGGTGGTGAGAATATCCTTGATGATAGCATTAGAAGTGCTGGGAAGCTGGAATCTTCTGAGTTCTCGACGAGCTTCAATCCATATAATTATGGCATCGTCGACGCTTTTGCACAGGCACTGCTGTCAGGAATCGCTAGGCGGGAGGTGAGTGGCGAGAGTACGAACGAGCAGCACTGAGACGTTGTGGCGGAGCTTTACAAACTGAATGTGTACTCTACCCCAGCTGACAGGTTCAAAGGGTATGTTAATACCCCTCGAGGCTTCACACGATTTGGGTCACTTATTGTTTGCTTACCGAATCCCCATGACGGTAGGGTGCCCCAGTACTTCAAAACGGGACTAACAGTTCCTAGGTAGCCAACTCCGGATTGCCCACAAAGGTATAGAGAACCTCTGATCTAGGCAGCAAGGCCTCGAACGATTGCTCCATTCAATGGGCCGCGTTTTAGAGCGACTGAGCACGAAGTACTCCCCGTTACATCTGGTCATAGATTAATTCTAACCTAACAACTCTACGTCTCCGAGCATCTAGGTGGCGCCGTCAATCCCCAATTTCCAACAATCGATCCGAAAACCTATCCCTGTATCAAAGCGTCAAAGAATTCTTGGAGTCACCAGCCTTTATGAAAGATGGCACCACACTCGGTTTCCACTTTGCATACCAATATGCCCACACCGATTGGACTGCAAACTAGCGTCTCCCCCATGCGCTGAATGGCATCGACGTCGCCCTATTCACCATCGTTCGCGCCCTCGGCCTTACAATCCACGTTCGCCCCATCCTTGCAGATGAGTTCAGCGAATCCGACTCCGACGAAGAGCAGAGAGCACTCCTAATACAGTTATCACGCGTGCAGCGCAAGAATTCCGACCTCTGATAATTGATTCTCGCGAAATAGGTGCTATTAACCAAGCCGTGGTACGTGCCCTGAACAGACCTCATATTTTCGAGTTGAGATCGGTGAACTTTGGTGATGGGATGAAGACTGAAATTGCGGGGCAGATTCGAGATTTCTGGGGCGGATATGAGATGTTTGTTAATGTGAGGTGATTGAACGAGAGACAGAATCATGAGATTGCGATTGCATATCAGCAGTGACTTGGGAAGGAGACGGAGACGGGGTGGCCGTATTCTCATGTGGCGCTTTTAGTGGGTGTTCTCCCCTTTACTGAGAGAAAGTTGGAGGGAATGTGAAGTTTACGAGAGGACAATGGCGGAATTTTAACATCGGCGCCCGAGAGAAACTTTTCAGGGTTTCTGACTGCCGTTCGATCGGTCTGAGCTTTTTTGTCGGGAAAGTGTTGATCTAAAGAGTGCTGATGACCAAGAGATTTTCTGTGCTCTTCAAGACACTGGAGTTATTTATAGATCCTCGATTTCTTATTTGACAAGACGCTAAATTGCCTGATGGCATAGTAATTTAGCCTCCAGTTATTCCTGCCTACCTTATGTCCTCGAGAAGAGTATTCTCGAGTAGCAAAAAAGCATAAAATCCCCAATTGTTCTCCAGCTCCGCCCATAATATGATTCTTCTGAAAACGGCACTTGAATTGACTCGTAAAAGTATCCCAGCGAGCTGGGTAAAAAGATGAGAATGAAAGTAAAGTCTATTCCCTGGCCCAAATTTATGAACAATCGAATCAAGAATAACCGAATCTTGCTGTCATGTAGGTTGTTATCCTTTCATTCAACCGTGAAATGCTAATAAACTGACTTAAACCAGTTCAATCACCCGCGCTGTCTGCCCAGCGAACCACTCGTGTGGACACAGATTCGCTATACCAAGTCTCTCGTACCTCTTGCTCGTGCCCGGAACTAGCTTCAAGATAAACACTTGGGAATGTGAGGGGGAGTATCCGAATAGAAAAGCTAACAGTTGTGAATCTTTCAAGTTTTGTGCTGGGTGTTCGAAAGGATTCTCGTCAGCATAGAAATCGTATGAGTTTTGGTTCCCCACAAGCTGAACTTCCTTGTTGCTTGGTCCATCTGGAAGTTTCGACTCAGCTACCTCAATGGGTGCCCCGGGGCTCCTGAGGGTGATGATTCCTTCACCGCAAGGGCCATAGTCATCACCATCCATCGCCGGAATGTAATGAACATTCAGAATCTCCACCACGATCAAACAAGCCTGGCTAATCCCCCACGTACTCACGCGCCCTCCGATCGAGAGCCATGACCACGTTGGTATCTTATGACTTTTATCTCTCCGGTGAGTCTTGGCACCGAGGGGATAAAGTTTTGGATTCGTGAACTCAGACCACCAAAACTGCCCATGAGGCAGACTGTCTCTCCATATACCAGCTAGATACGCCCCTCCCATGCCTGGGAAATCTATTCTTCTCGCAACCGAAGACAATGCTGGACGCCGGTCGCTCGGAAACGTCAACTGCCTTGCGCTATATTGAGCGCAAATATCATGCCAGAATTTGAGCCGCGCCATATTACTGTCGACGAGAACATCTGAATATTTGGTCTTCAAATTCTTCCCAGGCTTAAACTCAGCCCAACTCGTATTTGGGTTCTGCAAGTCTCCACATTCGCAGTCGATACTGCATGAGCATTCCCACACCAGTTCAGTGGGAGTATAGTGTACCACCCTCCTCGCCAGCAAACGTTCTTGGAAAGCCCAGGCGCGGTCAAACAGGGGCAAGTCTTGAACGTCCCAAAACTGCTCGCCCTTTTTCCATATGTCATGGTGTGCTTTTAGGAACACAGCAGCTTTCACTTGCTCACCAGCGGACGTCTGAAACTCGATGCGGCGTTGGGCTCTCTCGCAATACAATCCATGGTCTCCGTCCTTGGCGAGAGTCGCTGCAATGACAAGATACGCATTTCCGTAGATGCTTCCCATTTTTCGGGACTCTATCCTCCAATCTTCCTCGTCGTCTTGGACAATGCAAAGCGAATCGATCCATATATATTCCACCCCAAGCTTGCGGGTAATATCGAGAGCATCTCGAAACGTTTTGGTCAGACTCGATTCTGAAATCCCTGCGGACTTGTAGTTTTCTAGATCCGTTGTGTTCGTTTTAGGAGGAACCGTCGATGTTGTCTGTTGGCCGTCCTTGCTCGTTCCCCAGCAGTGGCTGAGAGCAATGTATTCTTGGCTCGTGTCTGAGGGCCCAACAAGAACGACTTTCAAAACATCGCCGCTAACATCAATTTTCAACAATCGCTTTGGCCATACTACGTCTTTCCCAGGCTTCATTCTGCAGTCTTCATGTTTCTCATCGCAAAAGGCGAGTTTTGACTGGATAAAGTCGATACATTCGGCGGCTGCAGAACTGAACGCAACAACTCGAGAGGTTCTGGAGGGGGAATCAAGAATCGGACCGGCTTCCTGAAATAGGGGAATTAGCATGTGTAGTTTCCACACTTGAACTGATGGGAGTCAACCTCCAGAGTTATCTGAATTTCCAGCTTTTTCTCATCTTCAGAATTTTCCGTCTGGGAAGGCCATATCAGAGTAGCGAAATTCTCCGAGACAACGATATGAACAAGTTCTTCTTCCTCTTTCTCAAGGTGAAGCCATTTGTCGCGGAACAAGCCGGCAGATTCGGAGAGAAGTTTGCATTCAAGGCAGCCCCCGTTCGCGCTCTTACGAATGCTGCTCAAGGTCCGCCGCTGTTCGAACCATTGAAAGACCTGACAGTTTTCACATTCTGATCTCCCTTTTAGGGCATTCATGTTGGCAAATATCGCAAAATCTTGTATTTGCGCTTTCCGTGGATAAGTTTACCAGGTCTTGAAAATCTTGAATCGTCACTTCAGAAGGGGAGTATTGTTTCTCATTTGTATGTCTCTTTGCGTACTCCAAAAGAGTTTGTCTTGCAACGAGGACCCACTGCAGAAGAAAATGAATGCTATTAAACCACGGAGTGAAGAAGTCGTCTTTTTATGCGGCTGCTCTAAATTTGCATCCGTGATCCGTTGGTCAGGCTCTGAGGTTTGTTGGGTTAACACCGAGTATGTTTGCCCGATGCACCCCGCCTAACCCGGACGCTCGATTTAGAAGCTGACGACAACACAGAGCCAATAGAAATACGGTTATGTGGACTTAAAAGTCACGAGCACTTAATGGTTGCAAACACCGAATCCCGGAACATTCTTTGCCTTGAACGACAATTGCTCGGTTCTACCCCCCATGATTGAGGAGTGGCTAGAAAGGTAATGAGCGGCTTCGGCATTGGCGTCAACTTGAAGGCTCTACGCTCATTACAACAGCAATATACGATAGGATGTAATGTCGCCGTCTCTCTTTATGTAGTGGCTGAAAAGAAGGAGGCAGAATCGTTGATTCAGTGGCGTATGGAGTGGAAAGAACCAACGTGTGTTCCAGCTACATTCCCCTTTCCAAGTTGCGAATAGATGGAAACCATTAGGGCATACTTTATTACCACAACAAGTTCTTTGGGTCACCCCAGGAAACGGTGTATTCTTTCCGCCGTCCACTCTCCCACTTCTCCCTCCAGTCTTGGTCAACCCTCTAAACAATATATTCTGCGTCTCCATCAACGCCAACATACTCTGGTCCTGGGCGTGTAGTATGCAGTGACTATTATAGCACAATATATATCGCCCATAATAAGAACGAATGAATCTCGAACTATAAGCACTTCCCCGTCGACACAAATAGTGGACTTACAAGAATAGTCTCCTTGATAGTCATCGACTGGATTATGGTACGTAGATAACGGCATAAAGTGACGGGGATATAGGGTATACCGGCAGATTTAGGCTGCGAAGGTACTGATACATATAATTTAACCCTGTCCTTGCCACCTAATTTAAGGCCATGAGATATTTACAAGGGGTACTATACTTTTTAAGATCTACCCCTGTACTTATAGGAGGGGCCTCGCTAAAAAGCTCTATAAAAGCTTCCCTTATAGCGTCCGAGCGCTATGGTCACCCTGCCAGTAACGCTATAAACTATAAAGATCTTCCATAACCTTATTTATGGCTTACGGCGCACTTTAAGGGTACAGACCTGGGGATATAGGTGGCTTTAGTGGTTAATTTTGATAGAAATTGGGTTTATATTGTCCTGAGAGCCCTGTATTTGCGCGCATGCACTGCATCCCCGTCACTTTATGCCGTTGTCTCCGTAGCAATCTTCAACGCAGCCTGGAGACGCTTCACCATTGAGTCTTTGGCAAGTGCTTCCATGTTCGTAACTTGTACTTTATGGTCGATGACTCCTTTGTAGAGATATATGAGAGCGCATAGAATAGTTAGTGCAACGAAGTGGAGGATAGGATGTTGTAGGGATTCGGTTCGAGGGAACATGATTAGGAGAGAGATGTGAATTGTTGTTCGAAATGGCGTTGATGGAGCCAGTTATGGCGGGAGCCTCGGGAGGTGGTGTAGCTTGATCCTTGTTGTTGGAGGGGGGTGAATCTGCGTGTTCGGCGATGCAAGCACAGATGTCTGAGATGAAGACCAACTTCGCTAGTGGGGATAAGAGCATGCTGCCTGGTGGCTCTTCTAAGAGAAAGCTATAGGAATAGTGGCTGCCTGGGCACTGAATCCCGGCTGTAATCTGCTGAGTCGTTAGGCCTGTGGTTAGAACGAGTCCGCAGTCACCGGCCACTCATAATTGTCTTTACAAAACACCGTGGGCAAGCGTGTCCCCATGCTCGTAAGACGGTCCAAGATAAACACATTGGCAAGTGTCTGGAAAATTTCCTCATACTTTCCAGGTTCTAGAATCGGACTGTTCATATCTACCATATTGTTCTGATGAGAGCCAATCATCTGGGCAAACCCGAAGCTCTACCAGAACTGATCCAGGCTTGGGAAGGCAGCAGCAGTTTGGTTTCGTAGAAGGAGATTATTGTCCATACTCGAGTTGGGGTAGTGCTGATCTTGCTTTCAGTGGGTTTCGAGTCGTTAGAGACTCTGTCAAGCTTCATGGTAGTATTCGCTGTACGAAGACAACGGCATAAAGTATCGGGAATATAGGGCATTGGGAGACGTTTAGGCTCTCTAGCGTACAGATTAAGCTAGTAAACTCGCTATAAGACCCTATATTTCCAGGCCCTTCCCCTAATAGTAGGCATTTACGCCTTCGACAAGGGGTACCACACCTTTTCAAGCTTCTCCCTTGTACTTACAAGGGAGTCTTCGCTAAAGAGGCCTATAATAGTTGCTGCATTAACGTCCGAGCATTATGGTTGCTCTACTAACAGCGCTATAACCCTAGAAGTTCTACTTATCCCATGCGAATATCTTATAGCGCCTCTTTACGTAGATTAAGGAGCACTACCTAGCAGGCTTGGCGATATTCCACCCTGGAACGTTCCACGGAACGTTCCGGCCGGTATCGACAGGTACTAGGTAATATCGGTAATGGAACGTTCCAATCGTTCCAAAATGGCAGGGGTAGGGCAAAAATGACAGGGGTAGGTTTACCCCACCACTGCCAGGAGCAGGAGGCTGCACAGGGGGATTATTACCAGGCGCTGGATTATTTAATATATTATTATTATATAGTATAATTATAAGGGATAGAAAGCAATAAGAGGCTCTTGTATAAGTAGTGGTATTAATAAAGAAACAAGAAGGAAGTTGAGGCGAGATAGGTCCCCCTGTACAGCCTCCTGCTCCTGGTCCTGGTCCTGCGAACCCAAACCAGCAGTAAGCCTTTAATCCTTGATCCTATCTATCGTACGATAGCTAATATCTTTAAAGGCTTGTTCCTTTCGTTGCTTTTGGCACTGGTGGTACTCCTAATCTTGGTACAAACCAGCCTCTTCCTCAAGGCCAATGGATAATCGGTATTGCAGGCCAATAACTTGCTCCCTTTATACGATACCTTACCCTTTACTATATAATAAAGCTAACTAGAGTATAGTACCATAATAATTAATAATAATAAGCCCTTGCTCTTCCTGGCCAGAATATAATCGTTAATCTAAATCGCATTGCAATTAGTCAAGTCCTTATATAGTAATAGTCCTATATTAATACTCTTCTCATTTAATAAGAAGGGGTTAATATAACGGCTACTCCTTATACTATATATACTTATACGGGACTCAATAATACCATTTTCCCTGAGTATATCCGGATCGTAGGTATATAGGATGGTTACTATAGTAATTGCAAGTGGCCAGATTATATTACTATAATAGGGATATAAAATACGGAGTAATATAGATAGTAGAATAGGCTTCCACAGCGTGGGATTACAGTATAGGAGAGTGAGACGTGGAATTAGAGAGTAAAGGTTTGTTAATTTCTAAACTAAGAAGGAAAGAGGGGTAATATATAAGCGGGTTGCGGACTGCGGACGTCCGGAGATCACATGACCGTACCACGTGACCAATAGGGGTAAAATCCCTACCATACTACAAGCTATCGCTGGGGAGGGAATAATAGTAGTAATAATAGTAATGGAGAGATTAGTACAGGAGGTCGTAGAGGACATAGTAGACGTGGTGGACGTGGTGGAAGTAGTGGGGGTGGCCGTACGAAGCAAGGACGAATTACACAACGTGGTGTAGTAAGAAAGACTCCTCGTGGTAGTAGAATTACTCGCAGTAGTACTACGGCTTAATAAAGGCCTTTCTGAGGTTATACGATGGTTTTTAGCCTCTTAATAGCATAATTAATAGAAGTCTTTGCAAAATAACGAGAATCTACAGGGATTAGCTCGCTTAGGAACGATTGGAACGTTCCATTACCGCCCGTTCCAGACCCCTGGAACGAATCGGCAGAAACCGATTGGTCCGGAATATCGCCAAGCCTGCTACCTAGAGTTATAGGGGCTTATAGCGAGCTTCTGCCCTAAATTCACACCCTGTAGAGCGCCGAGGGTCAAAATGCCCTGTATTCCCGATACTTTATGCAGTTGTCTTCGTACAATGTCGAAGCAGGATTGATTGTGAAGGCGCTGTGCATTTGGATGGTTAGATGAAGTAATGTGAACTCCGTGTCAGATGCCTCTAAAGTGTCCGAAGAGGCTGCAAAGAAACGAGTTTGCTCTGGAATGAGTATTGATAGCTGCATAAGTTCAAATTTTTTGAGTTGACTGCTAGGGGTTAGTAGAAGGCACAGCTCATGTTAAGGGAAGGGAATGTTGGGTGATGAGGAGCTACAACCTAAATATTTTTTATGACGTTTGGTTTTCAGGACCAACCCACGAAATAACGTCTCCTTGATTAGGAGTTCGCGGCTAACAAGTCACTCCAAATATTCTGAAGCAAGATTGTGAGTGGTGGTGTATTAGCTGACTTGGTTGTGTGGGGGATATCCCGAGACGGGCCGTCGTCAGTACCGGGTATCCTGTCAGGGCTAAATTAAAGTGGTTCGAATTAATGGGGGATAGTGTCAAATGGGTCAATTTGCGAGGCTTGTAGTGGTGCCTAAATCATAGGTCCAATGAGGGACCGAATCTACTGCCGAGATATCTTCGAGAGCATCATATATTGAATCTAGGTTCATGGAGGCAGGCGGCATAAACCCCATATTGAATGGAACAAGAACATCTGGCGGTTGCATAACGCAGACATCTACCCCTTCATTTATTGTGGGAGGGACCCCAGGAGCAGATATTCTTGACAGATGGTTGCTGATAGCATTCGAGTTGGCCTGAATCGAGTCAATGGAGTCTTGCCCTGAGATGGTGAAATTGGACTTTCAGAGAGATCTAGCTTGACTTATCTAATCTAGTTTTCATGTCCTTCAGGTTTCTAGGAAGTTGCTGCCGCTGGTTGTCGGAGCCCTTGTACAAGCAGGCATGTCCTAAAAGGATGTACTCACACGGCTAGGGGCTCCACCGCTGCAGCGGACCTTCTTATGCCAGCATCGAAGACCTGCTGCTCGCCTAGGCTTTGTCGTCAATTGTAGGGTTTGATTGGATTGCTCAACTTGATTTGGTTCGCCGGCCTTCTTGCCTTCGGTGGGCATCAACTGTTTATCGCCAACGATTTGGCTTGGCTTTCTTGACTTCAATCCCACCAGGACTGTTCGGTAACACTGTGTGAACAATTGGTTACATAATGACGTTCTTCCGCGAGATTGGCAAGGCAAAAGCAGTTTGTAATACTCTGAAATTTGTGCATGAGCTAATTATCTTAAAACTTCCCTCTCTACTTTCAAGTTCGGCTTAAGGTTTAAGCTCAGACATCTGGCATCTATCTCCTCGCCACCATTATCTCATTGATGCCGGCCGGAATTGCACGTGGCTGGACCATCTCAACAACATGCCTGTGCAAGCGCCCTCTCATTCTGGGATGATGCCTCTTTGCTCTCTCGGCTGGGCTGCTGACACTTCTCGACAGCAATTCCTCCCCTGCTCTGTGGATCATATCCCAGATCTTGGGCAGTCTTGGGGGCGGCATAATCCTCACCACTACAATCCTAGCGATTTAGGCTTCGCTAACCGGTAAGAATGTTGCACTTGAAACGGCAACCTGGGCATCTCTGAGATCGTTGGACACGATCTGGGGAGTTGCTATTCCTGCAGCAGTTTTTAATTCTCGGCCCGAAAACTATCTTACAAGTTTGGGGATCATAAAGTCCGAGCACTGCTTCCATCTGGCGGAGCATATCAACATGCCGCAGCGGACTCTGTTCGGACGTTCAACGATCATCCCCCGTTAAAGGCACCGATTATTGGAGTTTATACCGAGGCCCCCAAACGGGTGTGGCAAATTCCCATCGTGTTCACAATGTTTGGAGTTCCGCCTGCACCCGTGGTCGAGGAACTCGAACTTCGAAAGACATGGTAACAGATCTTGGATTGAAGCAGGAGCCAAGGAAAGGCGGCCTGGAAGTTCAGACAGCAGAAATTGCAACTCCAGATGGTGCTAAAGACGACGGAAATGATCATGCTGCTGTAGATAGGTCTAGATCAGTCTCTGCCAACCGACTTCGACAAGGTTCAACGGGAGAAACGGCTGAGGTAGACTCTACAGCCAGTGAGCTATCTAAATTCTTGTAGGGTTCCACCAAGCTGGACATTGTCTCGGGTTGAGTGAGGAGAATCGGCAGATTTGTATAGTATAGACTAGGGCTTGTTGGTTTTCTAGACCTTTCAATACACTTCTTTTTAGCCCCTGGCTGTTTGTTCCAGGCTCTCGTGGCCAAAGATCCCACCTCGTGATCCCTCCTGTGCGAGTGACATTTAATTGTTTTGCTTATCTTTCAAACCCAACCGGACCACTTCAATATTATTCAACATGTACCAAATTTCCAGTGAACGAAAGACTGATAGCAATCATCAGAATTAATTGTACTCTATATTAGCTCTGATTGAACGGAATATGCATACGGGAAAGGTTTCACATTGCGAAGTGTTCCATGTGAATTTGGTACCAAGCGAAGCCGTTTCTTTAGCCGATGAATACGAATACGAACCAGACCCTTAGAATGTAAATGATTCTCTATACATTCTTACGGCAAGGTAGATATTTCTAAATTATTCATCTGATTAGGTTCGTAGCTATGGTGGTCATAGCTAGTTATAGGGTAGTCTTACGCGAAATTTCTCATGAAGCCCTGCAGTGCAGACGCTCTGACTTTCAGGTACTCAATCGCTAAATTACAGCGCTCCTGCCTCCAACCCTAGCTCTCTTCGCTAATCAATTCTTCACCCCAGGAAAACCGCCTGCTCAGCCACAGTCAGCCAAAGGCAAAGATGCCGTCATTACGCATGACTAAGCCAATTAGCCACCAGACCCGGTGCACCCATTCCGCGCGTCTTAAATGCCTCGTCGCAATCTCATAAAGCGCAGGCGACTCGACATGCCAAGTGCAGCCAAGCATTACGACTTGCTACCCCCCCTTAAAGCTTCTCATAGGACAACATACTCTCACTGTCATGACTCCCTCAGAAGACGATGTTACTAACTTCCTCGCCTTCGCTCCAGAGGCGGGGGAGGGGAAAGCCTTCGTGTTCCTCGAGGTAAGCCACCCTAAACCCCTCGAGTAGCCCTGGATATGGGCTTTACTGATACCTCTTGTGAAGGGAGCGAATACCTTAGAGGAAGCTGTCGGTCAATTTTATGAAAGCCCAAACAAATACACACCCGCTCCACCTCCTAGCATATCGGAACCCGTGAAGAAAGCAATGGATGCTAAGACGCAATCCTCCCCCCCTCAATATGCTCCTCCCCAATATGCCCCGCCTGCAAATTTCATGAGCAGACCGCGACATCGGCCGCATATGAATCCAGTCATAGAAGCTGGGATCCTGCGTGCTCGAGACGAGGTGAGATTCACTTTCATTCTAGAAGTGGTCACGAGCTAACGTCTCATGACTTTGTAGCAAGAGATGCAGAATGAGCTACAGAGAGTTCAGCTGCAATACCGTATCTACAATAGTGATATTGAGCCAGAACACGATACCGAATACTATTGTAGTTGCTCTATTCACCAATATCAGCGCATGAAATGGAATCGGCTCAGCGTCCAAGAGATGTGGTGCAAAGCGGTCATGTATCCTGGTCAGCAATTACCGTTTCTCAAGGCATGCAAGCAGGCAAGCAGGCACTAACTCCTACTTTACCGTTTGAATAGGTGAAAAATTCTACCATGACTGCTATCAGACCGGGTTCTTCAATAGCAATCCATATAGATACCGTGTAGTCTCACCTTTTGGCAATAACCTTTCCGCCTTCACTGGCATGCGTAATGGCTTCGGCGCCTATGGAATGCCAGCTCCTCACCCACGGTACTATACCCAGTCAGTTCAGCAAACCATACAGCTGAATGCGACTCTCAACGCGGAAGCACAAAGGGATATCGATGCCAAGGAACCGAGAATCAACATTTGGGAAACTGACCAGCTAGAATCATCAATGTCGAACATGACCCTCGCTAGTGATTCATCGAGTCAAGTTGATGAGAAGGGTCGCCAAGTTGAAAAGAGGTCTGCTGAGAAGCGACAAAGTATCGCTGGTCCCTCCAAGAACGGCAACTCCGCGGCTTCCAAACCATCTAAATTTGCTGGCTTGAAGAAAGCTCTCGCCATCAAGTCTCCCGAGGAAAGAGAGGCCGACAGACTAGCCAAAATGCGTGCCCGTGGACGAGAGTTGCGAAACATGATCCTGTACGAAGAGAACGGGAGATGGCCAGACCAAGAGTGGCGACAGATTGTGGCAGCGTACCAGGAGAAAGTTGGCATGACTAGGAAGATAGCTCACCTTCGAGCCCGCCAGCCAACTCAGTATCTGCACCTACTCCGTGCGGGATACTTTGAACCCATTCCAATAGCTTGGGCAAATCAAGCCTCCAACCCCCTGAAATTTAGCATTGAAGCAGCTGCTGGATGGAGAGGAATCACACCTGCATGGAGAGGTTATGAAGATACGGCCGAGGAACGTCTGTACTGGGTCCTAAATCATAGAGAAGGAAGTATTGGTGCGAGGATGAAGCCGGACCTTATCTCTGCGATGAATATGGCACGTGCCAGGATGGCTTCTGCGGTTGAGCCGCCTCCCATTTATTACTCCCCCAATGATGTCTGTCATGTTCAGCATACCTCTGAGGGCTACTCGAAGCAGGTCATGCCCGCCCCTTTCAGACCGTTCGATGCACCGGAGGTGCCTACAGATGACACCATGATCCTACTGGATGTTTCTGGGTCAATGGATTTTGACCCTGTTCGACCGAACTATAACGAGTATCTGATCACAGGGTATTCCAGGTCTACTCAGCCGAAGAATAAGGGTAACCTCAGTGCCAACAATCATTCTGGATAAAGTACTGACCTGTTGGTTTTATAGACATCGCCAAGGCGGTCATCCGTCGCTTCACGGACGCAATGGCCAACCACGATCACAACTTCCAAGGATACCAACTCACCACATTCTCGAGTCAGGCAAATTACATCGGCGTTGTAAACCACCAGAATATTGATTCGATGTGGAGGAATGTTAAGCTTGGGGGAGGAACAAGAGTCATGACTGGCTGGCAGAAAGTCAAGGACCTGCATTTCCAAAAGCATTCCGAATCAGCATCGCATCACCCGGTCTACGGATGGCAAGCAGGTCCCCAAACTCCGATGCTCAGATTGCTTCTGTTGCTGGACGGCGAAGCCACCGACATGGACGAGTTCGAACTCGATCTCCTCGGCCTTTCATGGGTCCACGTCACCATCTTCCTCATTGGTGTCGACGGATGCCCCCACCACCATCGCCACGCCAATGAGCTGCAGAGAATCAGCGAAGTCAATCACCATGTCGCCTTTGTCGATGCACAAGGCAACACTCCCGAACGATTCGTGACCCACGAGCTGCTCAAGCGGCATCTCGGCTATAACGTCTCGATGGCTGAGTTCGAGGAGCTCGAGCAACCTCCTCCCTATTCGGAGTGAACACCCGATGTTTCCTGACCGCTTAGGATACGATGCCATGATGTATGATCTGCTTTTCTTATCTGGGGTTGGATACCATCTTCTCGTTCGTTTCATTGGAAGGCATAATATTCGGACTTCACGTTGCGACCAAAGAAGCCCTTCCCTTTAGTCGGGAAAAGCGAGTTGTCCCACAACTTTGTATTCGATTTCACACTAAAAAATTTCGCGAGGAATACCAAAACTCAACGGACGCGATTTTTCGTGAGCGTCCCTCCCACGACTTTTGTAATAATTATAACTTTTAAGCACGAGCCTAAATATTAAATCTGAAATATAATTGCTAATTAACGTATTGCAAATAAAAAATATTAATTGGAATTTATATGGCTACTTTCTAATAGGGATTTCTATTATACGAAAATAGCCGAAAAGGGATATCTCGCTTTCCCCGACTAAAGGGAAGGGCCCCTTTGGTCGCGACGTGAAGTCCGACTATTAAAGGTCGGGGATTCTTCCAGGGGCACATCAGCGCGATTGCAAAAATATAGCCGCCACACCATGCGCCGTTGTAATGATCAATCTATAATTTTTTTGCAACACCAGTGGCAGCGACGGTGGTACAGCATCGTAGCGAATACACATGCAATTTTGTTGATATTGCTGATGTGGTGTCCGTCCTGTTTTTGTTGTTTCCTGACGGATAAAAGCAGATACCATGAACGTGTAATTGGTTCGACTAGTCGATTTGCCACCGGACCTTAACCCTGCATTAATATCTAGTACCAACCTACAGGGAGTATGGTGCCAGTCGCACGGATCATGTCCCAAGGAGAGTCGGCGAAAGAAGACTTAAATATTCAACATATACTGATTAATCCTCACAGAATGGCCAGACAAATACACGACAATCAGTAGGATTGGAATCCATAAGAATTCTGAAGTTCAATGCAGAAGACCCCCACGCGATTTCCCATCACTGCGTCTCCCTTTGAAACATATCTAGAACACTCTGCTTTCCGCATGTAGCTGCAATATCCAATGGCGAAATTCCTAAATTGTTCTCATGCTTCGGATCAACTCCCATATCCATCAAGAGACGGGGCAAAGGAGCGTCATCACTCCCGTGACTAGAAGGTAATCTAGCCAGAGCGTGGAGAACATTATCTAAATCCTCATTCACTGTATCCAAGTCACACTTCTCAAAGAAGCTCCTACAATGGGTAGTACTTGGATCTATGGCCTTGTCACCATATTTCGGCTGTCGGACGAGATTCTTAACGAAGTAGAAAACGGGGGTATTTCCTTCATCGTCTCTCGCTTCGGAGTTGCAGCCAAGGTCTATAAATTGTTAGTAGAACTGAGAAAGTGTATCATTTGAATTGGTATATTTGCCGTCTTCCGCCGGTACAATCTCAGCCATGGCCTTGGCTAGCATGTGGAGATTTGTTGGCTCTCCGTCGAAAGTACCCTTAGTCGGATCTGCACCTCTGGTCATGAGTTCCTTGATGGGATATTCAATTTCGATCTCGACATCGTATCCCGACCGGTTGAAAACGTAGTCAAGCGGCGTTCGACCTTCCTTGTTCTCTTTATTGACCGATGCGCCACTCTCGAGAAGAGCAGAGAATATCTCTATCGAGTCTTCGTCAAGTTGCGCTCTGTAAAGTAGTGGGGTATCTCCCTTCTCATCTACAGCGTCGATCTCTATATTCCCTTCCAAAAGATCGAAAGCCACCCAATTAGCCCCTCCTTGTGGTTGATGACCTTCATAGGAACACGCAGCGTGGAGCGGAGTCCGACCGCTTTGATCCCTGACTTCCAAGTCTATTCCAAGAGCGAGGAATGGAGTTATCAAAGCGTTTCTACGACAGAATACGTGAAAAACTTTGGTTGAAGACATGTCCCAACACGATACTTCACCGTAAGGATCCGCGCCTGCTTCTAGTAGCATAGTAATGAGCTTTGAGAAGGCTTCTTCGTCGTTGGGGCCTCCATCGAACGCCCATTGATTGGCAACGGTAAGTAAAGGAGACTCCTTTTCGGGCCCGTAGAGTCCATTGGGATCTGCGCCAGCATCGAGCAGTAATTTCAAGCCTTCTATATCACCGCCTTCAATTGCTGATATCAGAGGAGGATTCGTTCCAAAGTCAACATTAGCGCCATGCATAAGCAGCTTTTAAACGATTGACATCCCGCAGCCACTTTTTAGAGCTATGTTCAATGTTGTGTTGCCACTCTTTTCGTGTATTGCGTTGACATCCGCTCCTTTGGATAATAACATTTCTAAGCACTGATCTTGCCAGAATCCGACTTTGTCGGAGACAGCGATATGCAGGGCTGTCTCGCCATTAGAGTCTTTGACTTCCAAGTCGACACCAGCCTTGGCTAGGAGATCAATAGCCTTGGAGTACCACCATGACCAACCGCGGGAAACTTTATGCAGAACTATGTGGCGCTCCCTCAATGAGGGGAATTTCACAGATGTCCATCGTTTCCGATATTTTTCGAGATCGCAGTCCTTGGGATACTTTGCATTCGGATCAGCTCCAAGTTCGAGCAGTAATTTCAGCATTTCGAGATTCGGCCCTTCGCGGTCAACGGCGTGATGTAGTAATGGTGGATAGAATTCGTTGATTTCACTGATATATGGTGCTATTATCTTCATCATCGAAATCATTCCTGAGCCGACAACAGCATGGATAATGGTAAGATCGTCATCTGTTTTCCGTAAATGGTTGAGGTTAACCTCATATTTTAGAATGGCAGTCAAAAGAGGTTCATTTCTGGAGTAAATGGCCATCTCTAGGTACCCATGCTCAATGATCTCGTCAGCGGATAGGAATTTGGTGATTTCTTCTATAGATCCGGCTCCTAACGATGGCCATTTCGGTGCTATGGTGTCTGGGTGGGCCGATTGGTTTTCGCTTTCATCAAGTGTTGGAAGCTGTGGAGGAAGGCGAAGCAGGTGTGCTATATTGCCGTTTGGGTTCAAGAGAGCAAGATCATAAGGCGAATAACCCAGATAATCCACCGCAGTTGGATCAACACCAGAACTAAGTAGAGTGCGAATGACGTCTTGGATTTGATATTGACTTTTCTCATCTCTCAGCATTATCTGTAACAGTCGAAAGACTTTCTGATTGCCGTTGCCCTTCCGCCATTCGTAGAACACTAGTGGAAGTTTTGAAGAGTTGTCCCTTTCTGCGTAGAATTCTTCCTCGCTTTTCGCTAGGAAGCCACCCTGATGATATTTGGCTGCGGCATGTAGAGGGGTTCTCTGAAGTTTGTCCATGATCAATGCACTAGCGCCGCTTTCGAGGAGAAACTTCACAGCTTCATGATTTCCCGTAGAGCAGGCCGCAAACAGTGGTGTACGGCCCTTGATATCTAGTTCATCAACACTCTATCCGTGCTGGTTGTAGACATCGCAGATCATTCCTGTGGTGTTGTTAAGATTTGCGGCTGCGAAGTGGAGTGGTGTTCGATTTCGAAAGTCCTTTGCTCGAATATCTGCTCCAGCCGAGAGAAGCTGTGAGAACATTGTATCAGAGCATGCTGCGGCTAAATGCAAAGCTGTTATTCCGTCATTATCTTGTGTAAATATTGGGATCCCTAGCGCGGGCCGAAGTAGGAAATCGAGTCTTCGAGTATCGAAACTTTCTCCGTCAATGCTTGAATCTATCCTTTTGGAAGCAGCGAGATGAAGGGCCGTCCGGCCAGAGTAGTTTTTTACCTTACAATCGGCACCTAGTTGAACTGCAACCTCGAGGGAACCCAAGGCAGATTCAATATTTGTAGAAAGGCATTTCTCCAGCCAGACAGCACTATGGATGAGATGATTACCGGAGAAGTCCGGGAGCGTTGGATCTACTCCAGCACATGTTAGATCCTCCGCAAGTTGAAGAAGATCCTTTGCGTCCCTAGATCGTGCAGCAAGGTTGTGAGACTGACTTTCGAGGAGAAGATGAAGACCTATACAGGAAGAAGGTCAGAGACGGAACAATTGTTTATTATAGAACATTGGATGCTAAGAAAACTTACAGGTTTTCCCATCATTGTCTCTGGCGGCTGCATTAGCATGGTTCTCAATGAAAGGAAAGACATGGTTATTGCCGCCTCGAAAGCATGCTTCCATCAGAGCAGTGCGGCCGAAGTTATTTCTGGCCTCAAGATCTAGCCCGACATCAACAGCTTTAGCTATAACTTGTGACCTGGATGAGAACACCGGCCATTGCTTGGGTATCGAGAACAGACATGTCTCTCCCAGAACATTTACAGCTCGTGGATCGCAAACATCGAGCCATCTATTAACTGTCTCATTGCCCCAGGAATCTCTCATCAGATAGTGTAACGCAGTGTTCCCTTCGCTGTCGCATCTGTTGAAGTCCACTCCATAACCGACCCAGCGTTGTAAGTTGAGCACCTCTATTGTTTGTACGGGATTGGCTATCATTGCTAGTAATGGAGTCTTTCCGTCGCATCGTCTGACCGCGTTGATATCAGCTCCCGCATTTATCAACAGCGAGATGGCTTCATGCTCCCTTTTATGGCCACGCATCATATGAAGCGGAGTGTGGCCACCTTCAGCTGTCGCTCGTGGATCGGCACCATGTTCGAGTAGTATGGATACAAATCTTTCGATTGCTCCCGGTTGGGCTTGGCTTTGTGCACTCCAACGGGAAAGAGGCGTAGAACCATCAGCAGATCTCACATCAACATCGCAACCAGCTCTGATGAGTAGTGTTGCAACAGCGTCCATATTCTCAAGCAATGCATCAGAGTCCTGCACGCTCGAAGTACAAGGTTCCGTCCAAGCTTCAAGGGCAGTCTTTCCGCAACTGTTTTGAGTACGTCTCCGTTTCCTGTCAAAGGCGACAAATCCCATACCGTGCTCAAGTTTGGCGACATTCTCAGAACGGGCGGAAATGTTTGCTCCAGCCTCTAGAAGGACGTGGACAGCCTCGGGCCACTTCTCTCGACTCGCGATGATTAATGGCATGTCCCCACTATCATCTGCTTGGTCTATGTTGCGAGCTACTTCCGGGTATCTCAGCAGAATCGAAAGAATCTCTGCGTGTCCTATATAAGCAGCCCATTGTAGACGTACTGTGGATCGTTGAACAGAATCCATACGAAGTCGACGGGCGAAAAAAACCGTCCAAATCCCTTAAGCGAGAATTTGCACAATCTTAGCCTTGCGATAAAAAATTTGTCGTAATTGTAACTTGAATTTAATAAAATTATTGCTAGCGGCCCTACGCAAGCTCCGGGGCTAGCAATAATTTTGCCCTAAACTCGTCCCGAGTAGTTCTTTAAATAATACTTCTTAGTAATAAACGTTTTATAAACTTTTAATAAATTATATAAAAAAGAAAATAGCTTATAAATATATAAAATTATTTATAAATAAGCTAAAACTATTCTTCTAATTTATATTTTAATAACTAAGATTTAAAATTTCTTTTAAATTTTAATAATATAAGTACTTTAAATAAAAACTAAAATAAATAAGTTTAAAAAATTAAAGAATATTAATTTAAAATATTAATTTAAATATATATAAACTATAAAAAAAAACAAAGATTTATTAAGCTTTATATAATATTTTTATTTCTTTTATTAATAAGTATTATATAAAGAATATTTTTAATAAAGATAATTTATTAATATTAAATAATCTTTTTCTTTAATTTTATTTTAAAAAAAATAAAAGCTATTATATTATAAAATAAAAATTCTATATATTTAAAAGATTTAATTAAAAAAGTTATTTAAAAATTATAAAACTCTTTTTTATATTATATTATATTATTAAATAATTAATTTTATAAATTCTTAAACTTTAAATTTAATATAATTTCTTTAAATTATTAAAATTATTAATTATATATTTTAATTATTTATATATATATAAGAACTTATATTTATAAACTTTAAATTAATATATTAATTTTATTTTTTATTTCTAATATAAATTATAAAAGAAATAATATTATTCTTATAAAGCCTTTTTAGATTTTTCTTTTCTCTTATATTCTTTTCTATATCTTATTTATATTTATAAAGCTTATTTCTTTTCTTTATAAATTATAATAGCTTTTATTTATTTATATAAAATTTTCTTTTTCTTTTTCTTTTTATTAATTCTTATAGTTTTATTTATATATATAAAGCTTTCTTTTTCTTTTTATAAGTTCTTTTAAATCTTAATTATATTTGTAAAGTTATTTTATAAATTATTATAATTCTTATTTTTATTTATAAAGCTTTTTTCTTTTTATAGGTTTTTTTAAGCTTTATTTATTTTTATAAGTTTTTTATTACTTATATTCTTATTTATAGCTTTCTTTTAATTCTTACTTATATTTATAAAGCCTTTTTATAAGCCCTTTTAAGCCTTATTTATTTTTATAAAGCTTTTTCTATTTTTTTATTTTTTTATTTTTTTATTTTTTTATTTTTTTATTTTTTTATTTTTTTATTTTTTTATTTTTTTATTTTTTTATTTTTTTATAAATAATTATAACTTTTTCTCTCTTTTATAAGTCTATAAAGCTTTTTCTTTTCTTATATAAATTCTTATAGCCTTATTCTTACTTATAAAGCCCTCTTTTATATTTATAAAACTTCTTTTAAGCTTACTAAATATTAGAATTATAATATATAATATATAAAAGTTTTAGTATTTCTTATATAACTTATATTTTTAGAAAGTTTCGAAAGCTAGCTAAAGCTATAAAAATTCTTTTCTAAGCTTTAAAAAATTATAATAAAAACCTCTTATAATAACTAGTATTATATAGTTAATATAGATATAATTTTAGCCAAAGAAATTAGTTTTAGCTAAAGTTTTAAATTATAGTTTAAATTAAGGTCGGATTTCAAAGCTCGGTATTTTAGTAGTTTTAGTTATATTTATTTATTTACTACTATATTTTACTTCTTTTCTTTTTAGCTCTAAATTCTTAAAATATTAGAATTATTAATCTTTATATCTTATTTTATTACTTTATTTCTACTATTATAATTTTAAAAGAAGTCTTTAAATATAAAATACAAATTCTATATATATAAAAGATTTTAATTAAAACTTATTTTTATATAATATTTTTAAAAGAATTCTTTAAAAACTTTATATTATTAAATATATTAAAAATATAAACTATTTTTAAACTATTTAAAGATATATTTCTTAATTTAAAAGTTATTTAAATAAGATCTTTAATATTTTAATATTTTATTATATAAATAATAATATTTTTATAAATTAATAAAATTAAAATAAATATAATTTATTTTTAATAAAAGAATTTAATTTCTTATATTTCTTATATTTCTTATATTTCTTATATTTTTTATATTTCTTATATAATATTATATTTAATTAATTTGTAATTAATTCTTTTTTTTAATTTAATATATAAAATTCTTTTTTAAATTATATTTTTTATTTTTAATTAATTAATTTTATAAATTCTTAAACTTTAAACTTAATATAATTTCTTTAAATTATTAATTATATATAAAAATTCTTTTTATTATAAAAGAAATAATATTATTCTTATAAAGCTTTCTAAAATCTTTCTTTTCTTTTATATTTTTTTTAAGCCTTATTTATATTTATAAAGCTTTATTTTTATTTTTATATATTATTATAATTATTTTTATATTTTTATAAATTCTTATAGCCTTATTTATATATAAAGCTTTTCTTTCTTTCTTATAAGTCTTCTTAATTCTTATTTATATTTATAAAATTATTTTATAAACTATTATAGCTCTTACTTTTATTTATAAAGCTTTTTTTCTTTTATAAGCCCTTTTAAGCCTTATTTGCCTTTATAAATTTCTTAATAATTATATTCTTATTTATAGTTCTTTTTTAGCTTTTATTTATATTTATAAAGCTCTTTTTTTCTTTTTATAAATTACTATAGCTTTTTCTTTTATTTATAATTTCCTCTAAGCTATCTTATAAACCTATAAAGCTCTCTCTTTTCTTATATAAACTCTTATAGCCTTATTCTTATTTATAAAGCTCTCTTTTATATCCGTAGAACTTTCCTTAAGTTTGCTAGATATTAGAATTATAATATGCGGGATAGAAAGTTTTAGTATTCCTCACGTGACCTGTATTTTTCAGGGAGTCCCGAGAGCTAGCGAGAGCCTTAAGAATTTCCCTTGCTCCCTCCCGAGCTTTAAAAAATCGTAATAAAAGCCCCTCGCATTCCAGAACCACTAAAATACAGAGCAAGGTACTCGAGCGTCTCCTCTCTTCTCCCCAGCTGAGCGCTAAGGATTTGGATGCAATCGCGTTCCGATGCGCGATTCCCTAGAAGGGGGCGATTCTGGTGTTCCTCACGTGACCCGTTTTTTCTACGGAGCCCCGTGAGCCAACCGCTTAGGGTGGCCTGAACGTAGGACAATATAGAGAAGAAAGAAAAGAAAGAAGAAGACGAGTTTAGGGCCGCTCCGCTAAAATTATTGCTGGCGGCCCTACGCAAGCTCCGGGGCCAGTAATAATTTTGCCCTAAACTCGTCCCGAGTAGGTGGAATTTTATAAAGGGCTATTATAGCCACATCCGGGCTCGCAAGCTCGCCTGCTGTGGCGTCAAACCGTACGGAAGTTTTGGTATTCCCGTACAGACCCCATCACGTGATAGCGTCCGTTTTCTCCGGAAAATAGCGTCAATATAAGAGAGGAAGATTCCAGCAAAATTGTTGTAAAAGATAGATCTGCTTCTTCTCTATTGCACAAATTAAAAATTAAAGAGTTTAGACGTTGTGTTAAACCTTAGTATGATTTTCCACAGGTAGCGATTTTGGTGTTCCTCGCGATTTGGCAGGTGGCCGGTTTTTTTCGCCCGTCGCCTTCGTACACTGTATCAGGCTTGGCGATATTCCACCCTGGAACGTTCCGTGGAACGTTCCAGCCGGTCTCGACAGGTATTAGGTAATATCGGTAATAGAACGTTCTAATTATTCCAAAATGGCAGGGGTAGGGCGAAAATAACAGGGGTAGGCGAATCCACCGCTAGTTCCCTTACTATAGCTCCCTTTCTTACTTTTTATCTATCTATATAATTAATTTACCTTGAGTATATCCTTAAAATATCTTCTTTAATTAAACCAGATTATTTCCTTATATTATCCGAGATAGCAATATTTTCTGCAGATTATTTAAAAAGAACTTTCTCGATTTATAAGTATTCTCGATATATATTACTTAATAAAAATAAAGCTTTACTTTATTATTTATATTATTAATTAGACTCTTTCTTATTATTATATAGTACTACTACTATAGGAAACCTCAGAAAGCATATTCTAAGGCATTATTTACTTATTATCCTTAAGTCTACTAATTCCAAGAACTAGAAGAAAGTTATTTAATAAATCCAAGGGCTTTATTATTTAGTTCAAAAACTTGAAAATATAAAAAAGTTTAATTTACAAGTTCTTGAATAATAAATTAATTAAAGAATTCTTATAAAAGCCTTAATTACCTTTATTATTATATGAAACCTCTTTTATAATATAGTAAAATAGCCAGAATTCTATATACTTTACTAGTTCTTAAATAAAGCTTATAAAGATGTATTTCCTATATCTTACTTTATTATTTCTATTAAAATTAAAGAATTCTGGATTTAATATAAGAATACTATATAACAAGTTCTCTAATTAGTAATCTTATATATTTATATTTCCTTAAATTACTTTTTTTTTTTAGCTATTTATATTTATTTTACCTTATATAAGTTTAAATATTAAAAGGTTTTTCTTGCTCTTAAATTAGTTTATAGCTATTTAGGAAAAGAGTAATTCTTAGTTCTTTTTCTAGTTCTAGAAGATTATAGTATTATATAAAAGCTTAGAGCTATTATAGGTAATAATACTAGAACTAATAGAACTTTTTATAAGGTAATTCAAGTATACTAGAAGTAAGAGCTTAATATTAAATAAAATATATAGTAAATGCAAATTTGCTATATTAGT